CTCAGTCTGCGTAAAGTCATCCGAAGTTATGAACATATCAGAAAGTGAACAGTCCAGATCAACAGTACTGGATATCCTATGGCAAAAAGGCCTAGAGACATTTTTCGGATTGCTAAGAATTTGATCCGCTTGCGGGCTCGTCAAATGTTTAAGACCAGCCACACTTTCTACCAAGTGCTCACAGGAGTCTATTTCAGATGGAACACAAGAAGTAGTGGATGGTGTCGAGTCACTCGGAAGGAGGTGAGTTGTGTTTATATCAACGAGCGGGATACACGGTAAAGAGAAGTCGTTTACAAGTTCACGGTAAGATTCTATTGAGCCAGTGGGGAGATCAGAATAAGATACGGATGGAGCAATGTTCTTACGTTTGATTTTATCGAATTTAGTGGCTGATTTGGATCTTTTACAGATGTTATATTCGACAGGTGAAATCAAGTGTTTTTTAGATAAACGTGACATCTTTGTGGAATTATTTGTAAGCAGAGTTGTGTTACTATAGGCACAATGTCTGTTTGGAATTATGAAGCCAAAAACTACAGCGAAAATTACTAAAATAAGAATAACCGAGGAGAATTTGTAAGAGATGAGTTAATATGTACCGTTGAACTAGGGTAAAAAGATCGGAAAGCGAAAAAGAAAATACACGTGAAAAAAGGTACAACCTTCAAAGTACGCGCCTGTAGATGAGATGATCTAAACGTTCCTGCTCGTGATCCGCTCCTATCTTGGATTCGAAACCACCTTGAGAATAGAAAGTATCGTATCAAGGTAAATAAAGTGCACGCGAGTTGGCGATTCTCAACACCGGGAATTTCACAGGGGACAATCTTAGGTTCAATTCTCTTCCTGATCTTCGTTAACAGCCTGTTGGACACAGCTAGCTGGGCGGCAGTGATATACGTAGACGATGCAAAGAACTGTAGGTTCATTAAAAGTGAAGAGGATTCGACTGAGCTTTGAAAGGACCTTACGTCTATTTGGGAATGGGTAGTAAAAAACGGTTTAAAACTAAACCAACCGAAGTGTCACGTCATGTACATTCCACCCTACATGATGCAAATGATTTACACCCTCAATCGAAGTCCGCTCGCTAATGTCTTCTCACAGCGCGATCTCGACTCAAGAACGACAGAAAGCCTCCACACAAGCCCGAAATATATAAGGGACTCAGTGATGGAGAATGCAACTCTTCACTTTATGCAAAGACAACTTGGTGCTTTCACCCCAAAATCATTCTTAACGTTGTTTAAGACGTGTTCTCGCACACATGTTGGTGCAAAACTTAGTCACACCTCCTAGCTTTAAAAGAGACAGAATTCTCTTGGGTCGAGTGCAGAGATGAGCTACGAAATGAGTGATAGGGTTGAAAAATAAGACTTACAAAAAAATCCAGTATTTGGGAATGTTTTCCTTGAGATGCAGAAGGAATAGAAGTGATCCAAATATGGCGTACAACATATTGAGTACGTCAAACCGTCACAACATGAGCACCTTACCGATACATCACTACCACTCCCCTCGAGGTAATCCTCGAAAAATTGAGCATGAAGCGCGAATACGCATGTTTGTGCACACTTTTCCTCAATAAGAGTGGTTGCAACTTGGAATGCTCTCTCAGCCGAGGTGACCACAACCCATTCAATGGACAGCTTTAGGAAGAGAATTGATAAACACGTTCTCACACAAGGGTTATCATCTCCATCGTGTACAAGCAGTGTCTGATGCATGTCTTGAGACTGTGGCACTTGAGACTATTCTCTCTGAGTTAAAAGAGAATCATAGGTGGTGGCGTACAACATTTTAGGTACACGAAATCATTCCAGGGTGAGCAAACACTCCCCTCTAGGTTATCCTTTAAAAACGGCGCTTCAAAGAGTGAGCACTTAGGCTCCTGAACAATTTCTCATCAAGCATTGTTGCGACTTGAAATGCTCTGCCAGCCTAGCTGACCACAGCACCCTCAGTGGACAGCCTTATGAGGAGACTTGGTAAATAGCTGCGCCTGATGCATGTCTTGAGCCTGCCAGTTGTTATTATTGCCATATCCTCAGATCAATAACACTATCTGTCTTGATTATTTGATTTATCGATCCACTTATTTCCTTAGTTCTGAAATCTCATTAGCATCAGACTTTTCTCTTTATTATTCTCCACGTTGCAAATAACTGATCTCCGGTCTGGTAATGTGATAGCTTTTGGTACCCGGAAACCCTACTGCCTTGAAACAAACGTTTTCATTCAAATCACGGGACATACAAACAAACAACTGCCAACTGACTAGAACTAGACAGTCGAGTGGCCAGACCCCCATTTATTGATCAAAACTCGACACCTGGAACCGTAGCGAAAGAACAATAATCGAGATCAACAAAATCAATTGGTTTATACTAGCTCGTGAAAAAGATATTGGATATTGGATCTTTACACGCCGCGCAAACCGCATTATTGTCGTACTTTATTTTGTGTTTCTGAGTAATGTTGTTAACAAGCTTTTGATGTAGCTCGCTCCCAACTTCTAATTTCCATTCTCACAAAGTCGGCAAACATTTAGTTTCAATAAAATTTTTGTTTTGTTGTTTTCTTTATTGGATGTGAGTGGAATTCCTATGTTTTCGGGGTCTTTTAATTTTTCTGATATTTTTGTACATATTATCCCGCACACCACTCCTCCTTCTTCTTCCCCCAAAACACAAAGTGGCTTTAGAAAAACGCCGTGAAACTTGTCTGGTAGCCTGTACATTGATTAATACTTGTACGTTTTGGTTATAAGTTATGTTTTCTAGGTTCTTTTGATTTTCTCTTAAAGTGCAACTGATTCGCGATTATTTCTCATTCAACGTCGTCTAGTTATGTTCGAGTGGCATAGGAACGTTGAACTTATTGTGTTACACGCGCAAACTACTTCATCTTTCAACTAGCTTACTGGAATTAGCTCACTGGACATGTATCCAAATAGGACTAGGAATTACTGCGAACCAATAAAAGTTATCTTCACTCATGCATATAACGCGAGAAGAATACAGGTGAAATTCTCTAAGAAAATTTTATGTCTGTAGAAGCGAGATGTTTTCGAAAATTCTGTTTGTTACATACCATCTGGAAATGTTATGATACTGAAAAATCTCAATCGAGATTCAGGCTATAATTCATCACTAGACTGCTCAAATATGAGACAGCCAACTTTGCGGTTTGGTGCGAAATTCATTCTTTCATATGGTTAAGTAGGATTTCGGCATAATAGCTGATGTCGGTTCATAATAAAAACCTCATCTAAGAACCCTTATCTACTGATCATAATTCCTCTTCCGATCCTCGCAAAACCACTTCTGCTCTTTTGCGTCCATAATTCAGTCCTGCCATTACCAGCGATTAGTAAACTAGTAAGTTTCTTGTCGTCGTTCGAGAAATCGACCGAATTCCCTTGCACTCTTATGTCCTACGCGTTCGTAGTTATCAAGAAAAGGTAACGATATTTTAATATTAAGCAAATACATAACACTTTTGATTGAAATTACTATCGTGCTGTTTATTTAAATATTTAAGGATTTATGATTAGTTATAAGGCCTTAAATAAGTTCTTATATTTTGTTTCTGACGAATTAATAAATATTTCATCTTCATCCCCATCTGGTATTTTCTTTCGGATTTTGAGTTATAGTGTTCCTTCATGTCTTAATTTCCACTCCACTTCCTAATACTGCCTTTCTAAATATATCGATGGTGATTTTGACCATTTTGTCATTGATAATGTTAATATCATCTTTATCCGGTTTGTAAGGTAATTTTCGCCAACATGCATTTATATCAAGTTCTACATTGTTTGTAACATTGAGTTCTTAGCTCCAGCAAATTATTAAGCACTACTGTGTCAAATATATATATATATATATATATATATATATATATATATGACGTACTTGATTTTGTATCCTTCAACTTGCCCTACGCATGTTACCTCTAATGGAGCATAGGCCTCCGACCAGGATTATCCATCCAATTTTGTCTTGGGCCCTCATTCCGATTTACCTATACTTGCTGTTACTTTAGTTGTTAGGAGAGGCATCAGTCAGCTACAACGTAGAATTTCGTACTTACGTACATCAGTTCAAGTGGCCATACTACATTAGCACAGAGAGATCGAATCGTCAATTCAAATTCCATGGTAATAGAGGCAGTAAAAGTATTAAGGGCAATCAAAAAGCTTTGTGATCGAAGATATCATTCCAGAAGTACATCGCGGAAAAATCAATTTAAAACAAAAGAGGAAAAATTTGTCATAAGCAATTCAAAGGATTCAAATTTGAGGGACGACAGAATAAATTCACCTGAGCCATTGCTAACGATTTTCAGCCAAGGTCTCTAACTATCGGTTACTATCATCTCGCGGACTCCAACTAGGTAGTCTACACCTACCAATTTAGCTCAATCCAGTAGTTAGTGACTTCATGTGTTTGTGCCATGTTTTGGTTTGGCCACACTAGCTCTCTTCTAGCCTACTCTTATATCACAAAACATCGCTCTTCGAGGTAGCCGGTGGCTAGGCATGTGTGACATGTCCGAGCCACCTCAATCAATGAAGTTTGAACACTTCATTTATTGATCTACCATCATTACCTGGTACCCGTTTCCTAACGACAGCATTGCTTTGTGACTTTCAAGGAGACTCGCCTTTCACCATGAGGCGTCATAACTCTTCTAAATGAAGACCTTCTAACTCTTAAAGCAGGGTTAAAATAGTTTAAATTATTTTTTCTAGTCGTTTTTCTCAGCAAATTTGTTTTCTACGAGATGAGATTGTTAACCTCATGCCTAAACTTCCTTTATTTGGGCTTGGGACAGGCAATAACCCCAAGTAGACCTCCAGGCGGAGTTTTACCATCGTTTTAGCCATTTACAATCTGAGCACTGTCTTAAACGTTTATTTTTTACTGTTTTGCTTCACATTGGGTTCGTTTCGCGACGAAATAAGAAGAGTTTATTTCGTTTTATTGATTTCAGAAGTTCCAGACAAGTCACTGGTGTTTTGTAACTTGAATATTGAAAACATAAGATAAATCTCACATCAACCAAATTATACTCAATGGTTTCACGTTTAACAAATTTGCTTCACGTTACTTCAAAATGGTCGGATACGGAATTAGGTTTATTATTGAATGCATTAAAAAGGTTAGTTTTTAATTTCTATTCAAATTGCAATTCTGTTAGAGACCGTTCATTCTCAACACTTGAATTGGCTGATTTCATAAAGACAAAAAATAAAACAGCCGTAAGTCTTTGTTTATTGAATACACTTCTTTTGTTACAATGGTTTCTACAATATTTATGCTGAACTAAATGACATGAAGATTAATTATATTTGATACTCAATACTTTTTAACCTGTTGGTAGGAAATCTTTCGGATGGTTTTTAAATCTATAATTGATTGTTATTTGGAACAATGAGAAATTCAATTTAGAAAATAAGATTCATGATTTGTACTATAGTCAAAAATGTGCCTGCAGGTTGGCCTACCTTGAGTTTTAAAGGAGACTTATATTGACTTAACACTAACTACTGGCTCTTTTTAAGCATTTAGTGTTTTGTTTTACTGCAAGCTTGTGTATCATCAAAAAAACATTTGGTTTGTACAATAACTTGATAACCTGGTTATTTGATATGCTTAAACAAAGTAAACATTACAAGATTTACAGAATGGAATTAATACACACTATATTTAGTCTTATCAAATGAAAATGGCCTAGTTATAAATAGTAATAATATTACAAACAAAGTCTTACCAAAACTAGTTATGTTCAAAAAGGAGCAAAACATGCATAAGAAACAAGAAAAAAGCATTAAGAACACGGTAATAGGACTGTACTTACAACTAACTAGTAAGAATTTTACAAACGTCTGTTACATGCTATGGGAATCTAGTTATTAAAAACATTTCACCAGATTTCTATTATATAAAACCAATCATAAAAAAAATATTTCTTTGTATAATTAATAATGTTTTTTGAATCACTGGAATTTTACTGAATCTTTTAGGTCAGAGAACTTATAGCTTGTATTATGGATGCTGATGAGAAAGATTTACAAGGTAAGCCATCAGTTGTGTATTAACCAATACTTTATAATAATCCATTGGTTTTTTCCAGATCCACAAATTACTCTACCGGAAGTTAAACCTGAAGGATCAATTGATGTAACATGTTTGCTATTGCTTAATAATAATAATTTCTTCCACATAGATTTTGTTACAAATAACTAGACACAGTTGTACTGAATACTACAATTATTGTACAGTGTTAAATGAAGTACGTCGTTCTTCAACAATTCATATAATCGTTTTTTTAAAAATCTAATTAATACATTATAAGCATCCGACCATTCCTTTTTTTTCGATTTAAACCGTAATCTTTGCGTAGTATAATTACCTCAGTTCATGAAAAAATTTTGCCCAAAATCGAGTACATAAGCCTGTACTACTTAATAAATAATATAAAATTGTTATAATTGAAAGAATAACATGACACCATTTAGTGTGACTTCATACTTATACCTGGCTTTGTATTGCTACCTTTACTGATCTTAAATTTTCATAATTAGCGTATCCAATAATAGTATAGACTACGCCAGAAACGTAGTGTGCTGGCGAAAACTCAATGTTCGTATTTATGTTTAATCAATATTCTTTTAAGTCATTGACATTCGTGCTCAAAAATTTATATCTGTTATGTCCCAATGACAAGACCTAAAATATAACACTAGAGTCTTAAATATCATGTAATGGCCGATGGCATTACGTACCGTTTATTTTTTATTGATCTACCAGATATAAATTTGGCCTAGAGACACTCTAAGAGTGAGGGTCAGTGGTACTAACTGGTTGCCAAAATCAGAGTACATGGAGAGCAGATGGTCTGAATCCACGGTCTGAAATCCGCACATCCTGATATATTTATGTATAATTTTAGTCGAAAAAGTTCACTGAAGTATACAGGATAAGCAGTTGTTAGGGTAATCTTACAAACGATTCATAATTATGTGAGTAAAACAATAAACTACTATATGAGGTCATTATCTATAATTCATGTCGCAATCGGTATTATGAAATGCTGTGATAACATGTTTCAGGTCTTTCATCGAGCTTCTATAAGAGAAGATGCAGAATATCGTAAAATCAAAAAGAAAGATCCAGATCCTATATATTCGCCTTATAGTCAAATTTATCGATTTTTTTCTTCGTTGGTTTGTGGACAACCATTACCAAATCTATCTGATTTATCGTCTGGTGCCTTTCTAGATCTGTTAACGTGGTATGTTTCATCAATATGTGAAATGTGTTGTGTAGTTTTTTCTGGTATTTTCCTGTTATGATTGTGCAGTGTCCGAGATCTGATCTGTGATATGCGCCAACCCCTTAAACTGGCTTTCTGAGCAAGAAGGCAAGTTCAGCAGAGAGTATGTTTGACTACCGAATATGATGTACATCATCAAGAATTGAACTGGTTTTTATGTAGAATCGGTGGTTTACTGTCAGAATTTATCACGAGTAAAAAAATATATAATCATCTGAAGACTTTTAAAGCCTATAACAATGATAGTCGGAATGGTCATTTACTACAAGATATGCATTCCGGTTGAAACATAAAAAGTAACGAGTTTAGCGAAGTGAATTAGTTCTTCATCAAGGCTCCGCACCATTATATAAATTCTACGGTCAATGTTTGGTCGGTTTCACAGTGTTTTCTCTTGAACAGAGTAATCAGTTAGAAGCATAACAGATGTAAAATTAACTTCAAGGATAAGGTTATATAATCAGTTATTGATAAGAATGAATTGTTTACGAATAAGAATTAAGTAAAATCAAAAAAAAAGTGACTTATAGAGCAGATATAGAGAAAATCACGTAATCTGAAGTGATAGATAAAACTCAAATAGCATAGAAAAAAGAAGTGTTCCAGAAACACAGTAATTAAGGCGACAAAGACCATAATAAATGGGAAAGACTGAATAAACTTTTGCTGTACACAAAGATTAGGTTTATTGATATGCAGATTCATGACTTCTGTTGTTTTGAAAAAAAAGACGAATCTTCTTCCATTGGTTGCTTACAGTTTGTTTTCATATTATTATTATTATTATTATTATTATTATTATTATTATTATTACTATTATTATTATTAATCTTCCAAATTAGTTTAGGCAGAATTTTAAATTTGATCAATACTAGCACGGATAGTGAAAATGCCAACCAGAATTCTCAAATAATTAAACAATTTCAAACTGCACATAAACTCACTATCGAAAAAATGGGTATATTTTTGGCATTGGCTGCTGCTATTCAAATCAATTCACGTTTATGTTCACGACGTGGATGTGATGTAACAGAAAAATTCGATGCACATCCTATTGCTCCGTTGTTTTTATTGTCGAAAGTGGAACATCCTACTACATTGAAACAAGCTCGTGAAATGATTGAATATCTACTTGATCGATTTGTGCAAATATGGTCATGTAAGGAATTTTTTTCTCATATATTCTGTATATATATATATATATATATATATATATATATATATATATATATATGTGTGTTTAAAGTTATTAACGATAAGCAAATACAGGCATTTTGTACAAGGTATCTGACAGTTAGGTGAAATAATCCAACGATAACAGTCAGTCAGATTAATATTAGTATTCTATCTACTAGCGTTAAATACTTGAAAATTACGATTGCCTATTTGATATATGCAGGTGAAAATGTCTTCGGTTGACAATTGTTTCGAATTCGACACAGTTTTCTATTATAATTCATTGATATTATCGTCATTCTGATCGGCTGATTATTGGTTTCACTCCCGTAAGATTGTGTACACAAGAGTCATCGTAGACTATCATAAAGAAAATACTTTCTTCGTATATGCAGGTAAAAAGATGAAAAAAAAGCATACGGGGTTTTAGAAGAGATATACTTGGTAAATTTCTATCCAGTCGAATAAATTAAGAGCAACAATAATTGATTTGCAGAGAGTGTAGATGATTTAGTTAAGTTTATAGGATTGACTAGTGAATGTTTCCTGTGACTTGAACATATGACGAATAAATGATAATTATCAGAGGAAGTGTATACACACATTGAGCATCAAGTTCCACACAGTCTGGTGTAACTTAGTTTTCGGTATTTAGTGCTTTACTCCAAATAGTTGTAATGTTTACATAAATATGTTGAAGGAACACACTATTCTTTTTTGTTGTTGAATGATATACAAATTTCCAAATCATCCTTTTATTATTTATTGTCTTCGCACCAAATAGAATTAATTTTATATCTGAAAGTTCCAAAGTTTATTGACTTATTACCAGTACGGATATGGATTATAACACCCTGTGTGCATTGGGTTCATGTCTCAGTGTAAACATCAAGATTGACATGTGGATAGATCCTATTGGCATTTCCTAAACAAGAAGAAACGCGCGATATAAATATTATAAAAATTATTAGACTTTTCATGAGTTTACATTTTCAAGATTAGTTTTCACGCTGCTTACATTGCTAATTTATTTATCAAAGCTGTAGATATCTTGACCTATTTCACACAGACTGATAAGAAATAAAAATCGCTCACCTCTTATGTAATTAGAGAAACCCTATTTTCTAATACGAATGGTATGTGTTGCTTTTCGACATCTGATATTTATAGCTGATTGATTGTCTTTTTAGCAACTTTATGAAACAGTCTCTGTATTTCAGTTGACAAGTATTTTGAAGTCCAAAGGTCTATAAGGTTGACTAGGCACACGACATTCACTATGAATCAAGAACAGTTGAGTGTCATAACTCGGTTAAATAGAGCACTAGGCTAGTTATCTGTAATGTCATCGGCTTAAATTTTGCCATAACTCAGATATTTTCCTACAAGTCAGTCAACACTCTTGAAAATACATGTGTGTGTGTGTGTGTGTGTGTGTGTGTGTGTGTATAAAGCCAACAAACAGGCCAGTCTTTTCAAAATACCTTAATGTCAAGTCAGACTTCAAGGTAAAATGATTGACTACAAAAAATTTGAAATTGAATTACTTCTAGGTAATCTTTATAAGGATTTACCACTTAAATAATTATCATTACTTATCAAGAAAGTGACTGCGAAATTACTTGCTGAATAGTGGTACATCTTTGAGTGATTTTCGTAACTTGGAAAATCAAACAAATCTTAGTTTAACTCATGTATCGAGTAGAAGCTTATGCACTCTGTTTTAAACCTTTAGATTTTTGATATTATCCAGCTTCGTAGAACCGAAGTAGAACTCTTTCCTGTGACCTGTTTGTTCGTTGATCAAATCACAGTCACTGTTGAACTCAATTAGAAGTGAATATATTTTAGGCTATGAATTTATTCCATTGTCAATACTAATTTTCTCATATTCATTTTATTTATTTCCTACCGTATATATATATATATATATATATATATATATATATATATATATATATATATATATATATATATATATATATATGTATTTTAATGTAGTGCCAAAATTTCCATGTTCACAAAGTGGATCATTGACTTCTGAATCAGAATTAAATATTGAATCGACTGATTTCCCAGATGCGCTTTTTAAACGTCTCAGTATGTTTTCGTTGAATCCACTTTCATTCCCAATGGAAGTGATGTCTCCTTTGCAAAATATCTTGGATGATTTTAGACAGCTGTGTTTAGACAGGTTCAAGTATTTAAATCGCTTCAAATCAGTTTTATGCATTGATCCACCGATTCAACTTCAAGATTCTCTTAAACGTTCCACACCACCGGAGCCTACAAAATCTGCGAACCGAAAGAAAAAGCGTCGAACTGAAAAGTGGCCGACTAAGAGTTCGTCAACACCAGATTATAACGCATTGGATAGTTCCGTGTATGTTAATTTTTTTGTTGTTGAAGATTTGTCTTTTATATTGACCAAATTTGTAAAGTTTGTAGTCATGACTGTCTGAAAATGTGAATTTATAATTAAAATTATTGAGTTGTACATTTTTAATGATAGTGGTAGTAGTAGTAGTAGTAGTAGTAGTAGTAGTAGTAGTAGTAGTAGTGTCAGTTGTATAATGTACCATATCATTCGTCCCATGATTGATATCAAAATACTAGAACTGATATAATTTAGATTGTTATCAGTTTGTTTGTTAGTTTATTATAGTATTCATATTTATTCGTCTCTACAGCTTGATGGGTTACTTATATTTGATAACTTATTAGCGTGATATATAAATCACTATTCAGTGTTTACATTTTAAAAAGTTTACTACTCAGTGATCAATCAAATATAAATACACTTTGGTTGTTCAGGTCAGTCACGACTCCAACACCTCAGTGATAATGTCTCTGACTGTGACATTGGGTTGAATCTGTTAGAGGGAATCAATTCATTCAAGATCACAGGCACAACTTTCTAATGAGTGCTAAATAACATAAGACTGATTTCCTGTAGACTACCTCCATCAAACAAGTTACTTTAAGAAGGAATGCAATTCTGTTTGTTTTAATCGCTAGTGGTTCTGACATCGAGTATGCTTCAGGAAAAGCTTAAAACAGCCAATAAATTATGGGAGAAGGATTATGATTAACGAACAAATGCTAATTTTCACGAAAAATGTGCCATAAAGTTGTGAAATATTCTCCTTAAGTGTTCTCTCTTATTACAATGCAGAAAAGAAAATTCCAGGTATCTCTGCCGTATGAAATGTCAGATAGCTTTAATGTAGAGTTTCTTTCTGGAATAAATGAAAAGTCAGCACTGAACCGATATCACTTGATGTGATTTACCAATAAGAATCCTGCGAAATTTCTGTACTGTTCATGTGTTTTTTCGTTGATATAGTCTATGATCCTAAAAGCTTTGATTCAATGATACGCTTGGAATGGTAAATTCAACATTGAGTTGAGATCGAAGTAATCTTAACGCCTATTTATCAAGATGCCAGTTGTCATATGTCCACTTTCCGATAGTCAAAGTCGAATGAGAGCACATTTCGATTTAATGAATCAGTTGATACAATCGTATAATAGAGTACCTTGTTGAACACACAACGTCAGAACATACCGTTTGGCCATAACTACGCTATATTTGGAAGAGAACAAAGTGATAGATTCGTAATCTATTAACGTTGATCTAACAATGGTTAAAAATACAATACTTTATTAGTCAAGCGAAAGCTTACAACTAAGGAAGTAACAAAGATACAATAATTCAAGTGTCTAGTAATAACATATTAAAAGCAGAAACAATAATTTCCGGTAAAAATTATTCTGAAATTTAAGCTTTGCTCGATATTTATCCCATTATTAGCACTTTTAACCCTCAAATAAGTGACTATTCACTTGTGTTCATATTTCATGAGGATGAGTGGTTGTGAGCAGTTCAAATTGTTGAAACCTAGTTCAAGAAAATCACTGCTAGGGAATGAAAATCGAAATGTCAACAATGACAGTCCATATTATCGAAACATGTCAGTACAAGTGGAGATTTCTTCCATCTGGAGGATAGTACATAACTGATTAAATTAAATTCACTAATTGTGTAATCGCCTTGTGACTAATTTTTCGTAAAATCTTTTATATGCTATTCAATTTCTAGACAGATGCATGTACTGTCAGAGGTTATCATAAGACTAGATGTTAAGTAAGCAACAGAAGTATTTCCGTCTTTATTATTACTAATGGGTAAATTATTCATTTGTATAAGGTCACTAGCATAAATTTATTTTAGTCTAAAAACTCTTCAGTAAAAAGATATGTACAGAGTTTGTTTTGAAGTACTTATTTTGGTCTTCTCTCTTTCTCGCGTATTGGACCAGTTAAAAATCCAAGAGGTATGCACAGAGCAGAATAATTTTTTCGATAAATTAAAGCATTTGGAATGAATATGACGATGCCTCTGTATTTAAACTTTCTTATTTAGACCTTTGAATGATTTTATACCATCGAGTTTCGATGAAAATACAGATCAATTAGACAGTAATGTAAATATTGATGAGAAAACTAGTTCAAAAGTTCACTTAGCAGTAAGTTATTTATTGTATAAGTTTTTTGTCAGATTAATATAATATTGATAAATTTAACGATTTTTAAATAGTCTATTATCGTTGTATTTAATGCATCTATCCTGTTTCTGATCAGTCATATTCAAAACAAAACATTCGGCATATGTGTATCTGTTCATGTGGCCATACCTTATCAACTCAACTGGATGGAATGATCAAGATATATACATGAGTAATAGAAGTAGTAACACGATCTGATACTAGAAATGTAGGTTTGCAGATTATTATAAAGTATAACATCATTTTAAAACTCAATACCTAGAAGAGGGCAAAGAAAATGAGTGCATGTATGCGATTGTGACTCATTTCGGACAATGACATCCATGACCACTGATCACGACTTTTGTGCAAACCCCAACCACGTAGTTTGTATTTAATGATATGGTTCAGTTCAAGACTACTTTTTTCACGAGCTGATATTACGCCTTGGCATGACTGCCCTTGCCTTTCTTCCACCGTCAAACATCGCTCACTGAGACAAATGAGCGATTCACTATCGATTTATTGTGTTGCAAGGTCTATGCATTCAAGGCTCATTTTGACAATGATACGAACTAAAATGTTGATGATTGCAATTTAATTTATTCAATATGTGGTTATGAGTGACACTTATAAACTGACTTTTCATTAATACATTTTGTGTTCTAATCTTAGTCACGTCGCTTTGTAAAATGGTGTCCAGGAACGCACTTCATTCGTATTTCCGATCCAGCGGAAGATGAAAACGTCAAGATTCTTGTAAATAAGGTAAGGAATCTCACTCACCATATATACATATATATATATACTTACTATCCAGTTGTTAAAAATGGAATCATTAGATATTTGTTTCGTTTTACTGTTAAAGCACCGGGTTGACATCTGATGATATTCATTTCCAACTTCCGACAACTGTCAACCATCATCCACTGATGATCTGTGTTCCCTAGTCGACATAGTTGAACTCAACTAGTCGCAGTATCATATTAAAAGCATCGGAAATAGTTTACTAGTATGGAGTTTAATCCATTACTGAGGGATCGGAATTATTTTATTTTCGGTAATTTAATCCATATCATGATTATGTTTGTAATACAGTCAGAATTACACATTTGAAATCATCAACCAATCATTGTTAGACCACCATTAGTAACCTGGAAGCACTGGATGGCCGTTTCATCCTGGTGTGGGACTCATCAGCAGTGCGCATCCACGACTCCTACACCTCGCAGGATTCGAACCCGTGGACTTCGGTCTTGCGCGCGAACGCCTAACCTCTGGACCACTAGGCTGACATCCAGCGGTGTTAATGTCTAACTGACTGATGAAGGGATTTTGCGCGACCTCACCTATTTATCTCAGGTAGTTACTGCCTACATCAGATAGGATTGAACTCCACTGGTCATATCTTCTCACTAGAACTCCGAGAATTTACTCACGAACCTAGCCAATAGCAAGCACATTTTACAGTCAGAATTGCCGATGCACATATTATGTAACAGCTCTTATTTTATTTGTTTGACACATTAATAAAAGGTCATAAACATCGATATAAACTAGTGTATGTGTATATAATTCAAATTCGTACAAAACAAAACGGGGTTATCAAATGAGTATACATGTTAGTTTAGAAGAGTAAAAACTAGAATAGAGATGATTTCTGTTTAACAAATAAATCAACATACAACATCAATGAATAGTAGTAATGTACAAGTGTTATTATGTGTTTTGATTGTGACAGAATGCATCTACGAAGAGTTGTATTTCTCTCAATATGTATGCAGTGTGTGTGTGTGTTGTCTCACTTGCTAACTGTTGAGTAAACTTTATACATCTATCTGTCTACCATTAATGTACTTGCTGTTTATTATATAATTGTGTTTTTTTCTTAAAAAAGCATTTTGAAGTGAAAACGAAGAAGCATGAAAGATTTCTGTAAGAGAAATTTTGAAACTATGTATTTTTCAGAAAATAATGTACAGTCTTTTTTTTTTGAGAAAAAAATATTATACATACAGAATATATTAAAGTTAGTAAATTGGCGTACTTTTGTGTGTGTGTGTGTGCGAGAGAGGAGGGGGGGGGCGTAAATATGTTTGTTGTGTATGTGCAAATGAATGAATAATCTAATATTAACAGTGATAATATTTCGAATATTTTTAGTAGTTAAACACAGTCAATAAGCATTAGTGCAAACAGAAAAAATACCTTGTGATTAGTATTATTATTATTACTATAGAGTTGGCTAGACTCTCCTCTCTACAAGTAGAAATCAAGTGTCGTGGTTCTAAGTGTTTTTCAAAAAAAAAGTATCAAGTGCTGATCTCGAAAAGTCTTGATAGTTTGTTTATGCCTCAAGTGGATGATGATTGTGAGACTGTTGGAACCAACGATTGACTTGGTGATGATGGTCGAAAATTCACCAATTGTTTGCCGACTAAATATCTGAAAAAAGTTTGTTTTTTTAGTTTTATTTTTTAATAAAAAAAAAGAAAGAACGAAAAAAAAAATACAGATTAAACTTAAGAAATAAGCTGTTATTTATTGAAACGAATAAGTAAGCTGCGCTAATAAAAGTCGGGGAAACGAAAATTCTATACAGATTCAACCACTTAATGTGCATAAATGTTGGAGTCAAAGTTCAAACTTTAATCAATTCACTTGATAGTTGGGTTTAAATATATTACATAGATAGCATACTTTGTGCAAGATGGTATGCTATTTGAATAATAAATAAATCTTTTTTTGCTCTATGCGATCAAATTTACTTTGGAGCATGAGTACATATGATTGATAAGCAAACAAAATCTCTCAGATCAGTACACGTTATGAACTAATATATATATATAACGATCAAAAGAAAATTTACTAAACAACCAATCGCACAGTACTTAGATGTTCATCAAGTTCAGTCATTTTGACCTTGTTGATCTTCAGTTTGAAATATTCAACTATATAGAATAATAATAAAGAAATATTCACTAGAAACCTACTTCTCATCTTTAATACGCATATACAAACGTCGAATTTGATCAATGCACAGAGTCACTAACACTGAACAAACGAATACAGCAAAAAGAAACGGATAAATGTATCGAAATGCAACTTCTCTATCTAATGCTGCAAAAAAAAAGAAAATAAACAAAAATCAATAAAAATGCATTATTGAATATGCATTTTTGCTACGTTGAGCAAATGAATTTAATTTTACACCGTCAATTGGATCACATGATGACATTGAAATATCATTCTCAACAAAAAAAGTAATTTACTTGTTGTATTAGTGCTACTATTCGTTGTGAACGTCAAACCACTTCTCATTAAGTTACTTAGATTAATGTTTGTTAAATGTTTTTTAATTTGACTGACTGAATAACTAACTAACTGCCAGTAACTCGATAAAGTGTGGTTATTGATAAGGTGTTAGTTTTTGCTACGATAATATAATAATAAAATATCCAGTAATAATAATAATAGTAACAACAACAACACTTCAAACTAGTTATTCACATAAGTATTTATTCATCAATAAAGTATTAGGCTGATCTATTCGTTTTATCAAACCCATCAACAATATACGAGTCGTTGGAGTAATAACAACATCAGTAGTATTTATTTATCAGTTGAGACAGTGTATCATGATATTGGAATGATTGTGGACCAATGTGGCAACCACTAATTATACAAATGTCTAGATTGTTACTTAAAGAAATTTTTCGATATAGAATAAACCAATGCATATTTGTCATTGATAATCAATATAATACTTCAATATAGCGGGGATTTTTGCAAAAACATAATCTATAACAGGATAGATGAGAGAAAATCTTACCGATTAATGGACTAATATAATAAGCTAGCAAATATGGTACACTTAATGATAATCCAGTAGTTACAAGTAGTGGTGCAATCGCCCAAAGTAGACGCGTACAACGAGCATTTTGTCGATGACGTGTAATTTCATCATGGAATAACTCGAGACGATTTCGCAACCACCATGGAGGTCCAAGAAGAATAAATAAGATAATTACTTTCAAATGCATAATACCAAATATCCAATGCTGTAAAAATTTTTTAAAAAAAAGAACAAAGATAATCATAGAAAATCAGTGCATACACTAAGGGTTTGTGGAACACAATGTGATCTAAGTCGTTATCTAACTAGTGTCGGTTCAGTTCATGGCGTAAACCATGCGATTCAGCGATCTTCACAAACCCCTTACACCAATAATAATCACATTCTCACACTAGTCAGTCAGTTAGCTACAACGTAGAACTTCATACGCACGTACATCAATCCAAGTTGCCATACCACATTAGCACAGAGATACAATTGTCAATTCAAATCCTACAATAGTAGAGGTTGTAGCAATATTAGCGGTAATGGAAAAGACTGGGGTTCAAAGGAATTATTCAAGAAGTATAATCCTTGGAAGCAGATTTAAACAGGTAAGAAAAGATCATGAGAGAAGACAAAGAGTGGACGCATCTACGCCATTTCAAATGATTTTGATCTATGTCATTCTGGGTCTCTAACCATCGGTTACTGTTGTCTCGCGGACCCGAACCAGTGATTAATAATTCAACACCATCTCCAAAAACCTATTACGTGCAAAGATATTCCTCCCGGAAAAATTATATTTTTGGGGAAAAACGAGTGTCTCATACATGTTGGCGTAGATTATTATTAGGCTTATCAACCACCACCTATGATAGGGTTAATAATATACAGACTAAAATTTCAAATTATTTACTTATTATTTTACTTATTCGATCTATCCACTTGGACTAGAGAGAAACTCTGCAGAAAACATTATTGGGTATATTTTAGAAAAAAAGTAGTCATCATTGACTTTTACCCAGTCAATTTGTAAACAGCCAATTGAAAATCAAGGATTTATGGACAGGATGCTTTGCTCTAATTTATAAATAACTTTCTTAACGCAGCATTGCGTGTCTATTACTTAGTGGTTGGGGGGCGAATCCACTGAGTGTTCTGTCTGAATGTATTGTGTACTGACACCTACAAGGATTCTAACTACCATTAGGTTGGATATTATGTCTGGGGTTTAGTTGTTGTATGTCAGCATTATTGAATAGTGTTAAAGGCGAAATAACTGTTTGTCAAATCCGCAATTAACAGCAGCCCCCTTTGACCGACAGCGAAAATTATCTCTTGAAATCAAACTAACCCTTATTAACCAAATAATTCATCTGTGTATTTGACTTAATACTTTTATACTGCTATTACGATAAACAGTAGTTGATATATCATATATATATTTGAAAGTTTTCAGTTATGTTATTATAAAAAAATAACCATAAACAAACCTCCCAAAATCCAATAATAATAGTTTTCTTAGGTCCAATACGAAAAGGCACAATAAAAATAAGATTGATCAATAATCCTAACGCTGTTGGTAGAATGCCTAAACATACTACAGCAATACAAAAAAGACATAACCAATTCAATAGTATTCGTAGATAATGCTTTGCATGCATTCCAATATCTGTATCCACAAAAGATCGAAATCCATATCGTCTATTCAAATCAACCATAGGAGCCATTGGTAATGCTGGTCGGCGTATTGTAATTTCACAGGTTGTACCTAAACGAGTCCAAATTCGAAATACACGTAGTGGTCTAGACCAACTGATTAAACTACCACTTTGACCAATCAACATAATAATTCGATAAATTTCACTGAGAAGTGGTGGTATACTGGAAAGTAAAATATACATTTGCATCATGAAAGTATTAATTCAAAAAAAATAACAACTAGACAATTAGAATGTAATGTGTAGTGATTCGAATAGAAGCCTTTTAGTGGCGAAAACTCAATTTTCCAAACAATCTGACAATATACGGTAATTAGAACAATCACGACTTTCATGATTAATCAACCAAAAGTTTTCTTTGATATTTAAAACGACGGGAAAAGACCGCTGTAAATCATTTTAGTTTTCTGAGTGGACAAGGTAGGTAGACTATGCAGTCACTCAAGTGCAACGTAGAACCTGGCACATGTTCACAGCAGTTTGAATTGTCACACCTCGTTAGCACAGTGAAATAACATAACACAGGGTAAATTTTAGGGTAGCAAAAGTATTAACACTATCAATCACGACCAAAAATATTAGGCATAGAAAATACAGTTGCAGAACATGTCAGTTAGTGAAATAAGGGGAGATTTATGACCAATCGGGAATCTTAGGATTTAGAGGAAAACACTTCGGACGATTTTAAATCATCTCACTCATTCTTTAATCATTGGTTATGATTAGAGTGATGAACTCAACCGACCTCTAGGCGGATGCTCCGTACTTACTAGGTAGTCTGCGTAGCTCACGAACTGACTTCATGTCTTAGTTTACCTCCCTAGATTTCGCTTAATCTACTCCTACATGAACCAATATCAAGTGTCGAGTTAATCAGTGGATGCGTAGGCGTAATATATATCCCAACAATCTCAGTTGATAAAGATTCGCTATCCTTTCAATTGATTTGCTATACGTATTTAATGCTCTACGTCTAACCTCCGGTCACCTATGGTTCTATCCTAGATTGATTAAACTACAATCTGATGAGGTTAGTTGATGCTCGCTCATACTTAGGCAACCGCTTTTCAGGTATTATACCAGAGAAGACAAAAATAAGTATCGAATCGTAAATAAAGTAATTTTCATAGACTTTACAATTCAAATCGCATTAAACACGGTTCAAACTGATGAACATATATGCAGCTATTTAAATCATTCGCGACTTTACCCTGAGTATATTCAGTAACGAATAAAACAGTCCATTCGTCATCCAACCCACTCGCACTAATTCCACGAAGTCAAATAGAAAATTGCAAATCTGGTCATTTACAGGTATTTTTCAGTTATAGAGACACTGAACACTGTCAATATATGCATTCAGAGACACCTGGTCAATATAAAACAGATGAATAACTGTTGTGAACGAGAACACAGGTGGGGCAACCGAATTGTATTAAACGAAAATTACAGAGTTACTCAGTAAAATCGGAAAACCATATCGTAAATCATTAATTTGCAAAATATCAGTTCATCATATCGAACTGGACTGTTCCTGTTGCAAAACATCAATCCATTGTCACTATTCATGCGTTTCATACAAATTCCATTGTGTTCTAACTCTTCCTTTCTTGATCTTCCCCCATCTTCTGCTGCCAGACACTACGTTGACACTCAGGTCATATACTACTTATAAGTAGCTCACACCACATATCTACTGGCAAACGATTTTATAAATTTGACAAATTACATCGTTTTGTATTGTTAAAATGAGTTGATAATAACTGATAAACCTATTATAAATATACCCTGACTCCAAATTAAAACGATGAGTGAACAAATAGCATTATGTCAGTCAACATTAATGAATTCATAGTTTATCTTGACATTGTGATTAATATGCGCCATATAGGGTTGAGTGATATATATATTGGTACACTTGACGAATAGAACTTACCAAGGTGCTAGACGGAGCATTATTCCGAGAACAGTGAATCCACCAACTAAAGCGATAGCATCATGTTTTGATGTAGAATCGGTACTGCTCAAATTCCACAACAGAAAACGTCCAATACCAACTGGTACAATCAATACAATCAAGCTTAAACATATTAAACTAACAATTAAGATTATAATTAAGCCGGTAATTCGTAATTTAAAGAAACTAGTACGCTTGTATGGAATATAACGAGTGAAATCTGCATCATCTGTATCAGAATCATAGTCGGCATTTGCATTATTCACATTCTCTTGTTCATTATGTTCAGGTTGAGGATGTTGTTCATCAAATGCATTGCTTGTTGACGCAATCGGTCTATATGATAACGACGATGATGATGCTGATGATGTTGGCGAATTTACAGCATACAAATCTATCGGGATACCGCTCACTTCATTGGTCAATTCCGGTCGAGGTGATTCCGAATGACCAGTGGAGCTAGATGTTTTCTTGTGAGAATTTTTACGAGGTCTATACGGTATTTCTGTTCCATTTTCAGTAACAATAAAGTCCTAAAAACAAAGGGAAGATTAAGCAGAACTGTTATCAGAAAGAGTTTTTCAGATTGATTACACAATGAATAAATGACAAAAATCAATTTTTCATTCTTTTGGCGGTGACGATTTTTTTGCCACAATGAAAAAGTCATACGCCAATCTTATAGTGAAAATATGATACAAGGAGGTTCGGTGTATTATAATATGCTGGTGACCACTTAATAATTTGTAGCCGGTTACATTACGTCAATTAATTAGTTTAATTCAAGCTATTGATTTTAAAAGACCAGTGTCTAATGCATTTGTTTTATTTATGGCAGTAACATTCATCATCAGTAATAATTTACTTTATCAAAGAATACATAAATTGATTTTGCCTTTTTGATGTGTATCTAAAAATTCGGATGCTCCTGTGAAGAAATACGATTTAAGAGATAGATGAGTGAATATTTCCCAATGTGATTTAGAAAGGATCACAAAGAAAACGAGTAAGGCCATCTTATATTTGGCCTACAAAGATCATATAGTATATGAAAATAAGTCAATGAGAGTTAATCTACCGTTTCGCTAACTAGGTTCAACCTCGTCGGTTACATATATAGTAGAAGCTATAAAAGAATTTGAACCTACAACCTTAGCCTATGGGTATTCAGACACATTTCGTAGCATCCTTGTCCTTTTTCTCTTGAATGAATAAAAGCTTAACAAATTATTTGGACAATAATAATAATAATTATTATTTTCTGCATTGTTTGTTTTTCTCCATCCACTTTCGTATGCATTATTTATTATTCAATAAGTTTGGGCACTACTTATTACCGAAATTTAGTAATTTTCAATTGTTGTTACCCTTTCACGTTTTCACATACTTCTTATGGTGGAACATTGATTCAAGCTAGCGCATTGTTCATCTTATTATCAATTTGTATGTTTTATTGATTATATGGTAAATTAATTTCATGTTAATTTTTTCGCCTTCATTGTCATCATTGTCTGGAAAGCTGTCTTGATTAGTTGAATATTTTTTCAGATAGATAGAAATAATTTACTGTATTATAAGAGAGTAAAAGACTGAGATAATCTAATTGCAGAAAACATTATTTGCTCATATGTATACGTATATAGTTGCAGTTTACACGATAATCAACTAGTATCATCCGTCAGTCAGTCTGCTAAGAGACATAGAACTTTGTACGTACGCACAACAGTTTGATTAGCCATACCATATCAACACAGAGGTACAACTGTCAATTCAAACCCTATAGAAGTAGATGTTGTAACAGTATTAACGGTAAGCAGAAAGATTAGGGTTCGAAGATATGATTCAAGAAGTATAATCCGGTGAAATGTATTTAAAAAAGAAAGATAAAGGTGATAAGAAATTCGGAAGACTAGAATTTGAGAGAAGATAAAGAATGGATGTACCTGTGCCGTTGCAAACTATTTTGAGCCATGTCATTTAAGGTCTATAACTATCGCGGACACCAAACTGGTACACTACACTAACTAGCACTGCTCAGTCCAGTTGCAGTGACTTCAATGATCATGTGTCATGTTTTGGTCTGGCCGACCTAGCTTTCTTCCAGCCTACTCCCCTACATCACAAAACATCGCTCGCCAGGGCAGCCGTTGGTTGGGCATGCGTGACATGTCTCAACCACCTCAATTAGTGAACATCCAATACTTTGAAAATTGATTTGCCATCCTTATTTACTACACATTTTTTAACAACTGCTTTGTTTATTTGATTGTCCCAGGATAAACGAGCAATGCTTCGAAGACACCTATTATAGAAAACCAGCAACCTAAGCATATCCTCTACTCTTACTGACCGTGTTTGACACCCATATAGTAGGATAGAGCGAAATGATGCGCAGTATACTCGTCCTTTGGTTAGCAGGCGGATATCCCGCCTACTCCATAAGTGACGAAAGCTGGCAAAAGCCAGTCGATCCTTCTGTATCCGTGCCGAGATTTCGTCACACACCAGGCCATCAGCATTGATGAGTCCTCCGAGATAAATGAAGCAGACAACAAGTATCGTAATACATGTCTCTAAAACTAAATCTGCTTAAATTAGGATTACAATACAATTAAACAAGAAATCGAATAACTAGTAACGAACAATCCGAATAAACCGATCGAACTACTAGCAAACAACACGTGTTCATGTTGCAACCTAAGAAAACAGACACTAATAGTAATAATAGTAATAATGTGGGAGGAGACAAAGCATCAAAGTCAAAAGCACAATGAAAGTGAAGACAGTTCACTATATATATATATATATATATATATATATATATATATATATATATATATACTGATGATATCAGAGACTATTGTTTGATGTTTCCTTTATTTAGTTAGCAGCTTTCGCCCTGTCACTAAGTTCAGTTATCCAACTGATCAGTTTTTGAAAGGGTTGTCTCTTCAAATTCACGATATACACTAGCAACAATAACGACACTGATTATATCTGGTCGTAATATGAAATGAACAGCTTAAGTTCAGTCTTATGTATAGTGTCTTATATATAGGGCTTGGAAATTATCGATCACTGAGTAATAATCATTCATATCATGTTAATCAAATCCTTTTCAATGCTGATTGAATTATATCGATTGGATTATAATATGACTACTAGTCTACGTGATTCAACATCATATGCACTATATTGAGATGTTAGATAGTTAAAGAGTTTCTTATCGACTACTTATCAATCATCTAAGATATGTTGTGCGAAATATATGTCCTAAAACAACTATTGACTATTGCCATACAAAAAAGTAACAATTCAATTTATTGTAAAGAGCGGAATAGAGCAGTAATGATAGACGGCGAATGCTACTCTTTAGCACACTGTCTCATTTAATTCGCAACATGAAAAGTACCAACATTTAGTTATGTGCTCAGTTTGTCCTATGAATTATAGACTTTAGTTTAATGTATGAATTACGATTATATTCTTTCCTATATCGGAACATGATTTAAGTAAAATTCCATTTTACTGATTTCTTGTGTTGTAGTGTCGTTAGTTATATATCTATTCATGCATTTATTTTGAGTCAATCGAATCAAGAATAAGTTAGATGGGCGGCTTTTAGCTAAATAGTCTTCTCTATCCTCTTACCAACCAGTTAGCTTATACGTTAGTGGTGGGATAGTATATTTTCACTGCCCTCAAGGCTGTTGTTCAATGACATATCGAACTCGCGTGTTATAGATCTCAAAGTTGTACAAACTAACCTATCACATCATGACCGTAAACTAGATTAGGACAACTCCCTTTACCTACACATAAATTAAAGACTGGTGGGTAGAAAAATAGGCATCGCAACAACTTTAACAATTAGGACAATGCATCGTCACACGGTGATATTTAGTAAGAATCTAGTAATCAGTACCTCAGGAGTAATTGTCAAGACATTCCCATTATGTAATGGATTCATAAAATGAGTTGAGTCAACGGCATTTGAATTGTTTGACTTTAAAATGACTTGAAAGTGAAATGAACAACAGCAATGAATAATGGCCAAAATAATATCAGCTTTTCGGGATATAAACAGTACATTTCATACACTGTCTAGTGTTTAGTTCGTCATCTTCTATGATCATTTCATTCATTAACTATTTAACTAATACATCAAATTAAAATACAATAAAGTATTACACACATATTTTCAGCATACAAATATTCACATCAAAAGAAGAAGTAGAAAACGAAAATGATGAAATTAACTAACCCCTGGTGAAAATGGAACATCACCTAGTAAATAACTACGCAAATCCAGTAACCATGATACGCATATACACCACCAACGTAAAATTTGACGAAGTGTTGTTTTAGCTTGATTATCCGATAAGAATGGTAGCACAACTTGTAATAGTATCATTTCGAATGAATAATCTAACGGACTGTCACTCAAATGAAAAACAAACAAACGAAAATAAGCATGAATATGCCAGAAAAAAAAAGAGTACAGACGTAATAAATCGATCCAATGAAGAAAAAAAAAGAATTAAACAGAATGGACGAAATATGACTAGCAGTAAAATATCAAAGATGCGCTTTCATATTCTATTTGGGACTACTCATCAACTAGGTGTAGCTGCAGCGTAGAGATGATGTTCAATTGAGAGGCTTGACCATTGGGGTAATCTAAACGATTATACATTATAACAAGTATCTTCCATAAATATTTTCAACTGATCCGTTAAGTTAACTATGTTCGAATGCCTTCTATAATTGAAAGAATTAATGTAACAATCGAAAAATGGTAAGATTTATTTTTGATTACTTATGTAAAATTCAAATGTACTCATTCAAATTTTGCACGTAAACCATATGCTGCGTAATATGCCTTTTTTATGTATTTACTAGTTACTTCTTAATGTTGATACTCATAAAACATTCAAGACTTTTAAATTCATTCAATAAATACTAATGTTTTTTTTCACGGGTTTCTATAACTCTATTAATTTCTTTATTAGGTGTCTAAATATAAATTCTTACATACAGTATTCGTCAAGATTGTGAGAATTTCAGTTTACATCAAGGAGTCACTGTAGTAGTTAGTCGACCATTGTGAACCCGGAAGTACTGGGACAGCTGTTGGATTTTGTGATTGAAACACTAAGCAGTATTTATCTACGATCCGACCGGAGATTTGGGGCTAAGATCTCCAGAGAGAGATTAAATTTAAAACCACTGGGGAGACCATTTAACGGTTTACACGTTGAACTCCAGTCAATCTATCTGCGGGCTAAGAGCTCGCCGTAAGACCTGCAGATGGCAATTTAGATCTTTGGTGAGATCATGGACAGGGACTACTGGTACTAAAATTACCTTACTCTGCAGTGTCTGTTGGGTTTTTCATGGTTAACTAACGAAGGTGAGTCAGTGATGTAACCCATGAAATTCAACAAAACGCTTACATTAAAATAATCATGTGCTCACTAGTGAAAACTTTTCATAGGTTCTAGTGCAAAGCTATAACCCCACCAGTGGAGTTTAACTAGATCGAGCGTGAAGCAGTTTCCAACCAATAGCACTGAAAGATGGTTGTATAACATTACGAGCCGAATGAAATCAGTAGTGTAAACCACTGAATGCTAAAAAGTTAATTCATCGATTAGACGATCGCTGAAAGACCCTGAAGGTCCTGTGTTCGATCGATAGTGGGAGTGTGGATAAATGAAATCATTTATCAAATGTGTTAATAAAACTATCCAGCTGCCGAAACAAAAGTAGGTGAAGTATGACTCAAATCTGCAACCTTCTCTACATATTTATACTACTATAAGGCTACCGAAAGCAAATTAAATTTAAGTGGGCTGATTCTTGCAAACGACTATTCTAGGCCGAATGCTTTTATCACTACACACTATTGTTCCACCTACAAAAAATAGAAACAATTCATACTTAGAAACCGGAGTTTCAAAAAAAACATATTTGCGATCGAATACATAATTGTAATCGAGTAAATTACTTACTAAGCTGCATTAATACGAAAAGGTAGAAATTTGGGAAGAAAATGCCGAATAATTTCTGTAGGTAACCATAGCATAAGTACAATTAATATACCCCAAACGGACTGTACAATTCAATTTTTGAAAAAAAATTAATGTAAATACAAAAGGATTAATACATTATTAACACTCGCATTATTATTATAATTATCATTTGAGTAATTAAAAGACCTAATCATTTGGAAGTTGAATTTGTGATTTCAAAAGTACACAAAATAATCAAACTATACAACTTAACTCTATAATTTGGTAAATTGTGATATACAAAAAATGGGTGTATGCTAGTTTTTTTTCTCTAAATAATGACATTTTGATGTTGGTTTCATTCTCAGTGTAAGTCAGTACGAGAGAGTGATTCTTTCATTTCTCAGTGAAACATTATTTCAGGTCAATACATTTTTTCTGTGTAAACTTCATATTTATTAACTGATCGACAGGATTATGGAGACGTCGACGTCTGGAGGGAATCACGGTATCAACTGGACAGTTAGGACGCAGCTGGACGATCTGGACTTCGCAGATGATCTGGCTCTTCTATCGCACATGCAACAACAAATGCAAGAGAAGAAGACCAGTGTAGCAGCAGCCTCTGCAGTAACAGCTCTCAACATACATAAATGAAAAAGCGAGATTCTCCGATACAATACAGCATGTACCAATCAAATCACTCTTGATGGAGATGCCTTGGAGGACGTTAACACCTTTACATATCTTGGCAGCATCATCGACAACCGAGGTGGATCGGATGCAGATGTGAGGGCACGGATTGGCAAAGCAAGGGCTGCATTTCTACAGTTGGAAAATATCTGGAACTCCAAACAACTTTCAACCGAAACCAGAATCAGGATTTTCAATACAAATGTGAAGACAGTTCTACTGTATGGAGCGGAAACATGGAGAACTACCAAAGCCATCATCCAGAAGATACAAGTGTTTATTAACAGTTGTCTACGCATAATACTTCGTATTCGTTGGCCAGACACCATCAGCAACAACGTACTGTGGGAGAGAACAAGTCAGATTCCAGTGGAAGAGGAAATCAGGAAGAAGCGGTCGAAGTGGATAGGACACATTGCGGAAAGCACCTAACTGCGTCACGAGACAAGCCCTCACATGGAACCCTCAAGGCAAAAGGAAAAGAGGAAGGCCAAGAAAGATATGAGAGGAATGAACAAACATTGGACAGAACTGGAGAGAGAAGCCCAGGACAGAGTTGGTTGGAGGAAACTGGTGGGCGGCCTATGCTCCATTGGGGGTAACAGGCGTAATTAAGTAAGTAAGTTCATATTTATTGTTACATTTCATTTATATGATATCTCATTAAATAATTAAGTAAGGACGTGATTTTTGAGGATTTGCGTACACAATGTTGAATTAGTAAACTTGTATTGTATGCGAAATTCTTATGTTTTCATTTTGTAATTGTAGGCATTATTACAGTGATGCCTAAATTATCTCCAAATGTGTGCATACAATTTTTCTGTGCGAAAAAAAAAACAGTCAGCACTTACATAAGTAGCAATTAAACGTTGTATGTAAACTGGCAATGGTTGAAATATCATCTATTAATAAGACAGAAAAGAAAAAATCAAAGGAAATACGATGCGATTCTTTTTTAAATCATTTGTCAACAGTGATGATAATAAAAATGTAAAAAAAAAGTAAAAGAAACAAGACGGTAGGTATTTGTAAAAAAAAATTGCATCGATTCATGCCTTCAGTATGACGTGAAAACAGTCCTGTTGGACTCCATTTATTGTGAAATTGATAAACTGTGCTCTTTTCGGTAAATAATGTATATTCTTTAACACATTCTCACTACATAAAGCTCAGCAGTAACAATATCTTAAACTTAATGCCACACACGTAAGCAAATGTTAGATGAAATTAAAGTTGACCACCAGCAAACGAATGACTTTATTAATTCAAAGGGCATGACAATCAATTGTCGAAATGAGAAGACATTGAAGTGCGATCGACAGATGATAAGCAGTAATATGAAGTCAAGCTTAGTAATGGATGCAGATGAGACTGTATACTTGGTGCAAGTCACTGAATAACTTCAGTCAACGGCAAGACAATTAGTCAGAAAAAAGGTGGTAGGCTTAAATACAAAATATCAACAACGCAAAATAAACGTAATCAATTGTTGTAGGAGATTGGAGGCAATTAATTTATAGGCCACCGAACCAATCAATTAAGCATTACTATACGGCTTCATTCTTGAGCATTAGATTCAAACATTTACTGAACGCACCTTCGTCGCGTGATGCTATTCATATACTACTAGTTCTCAAAGACACGATTGGTGACTGTTATGTTGTTTGGTCGAAAAATAATAGTGTACTCTAAAATGTTGTTTAGTTAAGTATGAATTACGTCTTTTCAAATAATACACCAATGATAGAAGACTGCCACTTCTGAAGCACATATTTAGATTCAGATCATGCTCTACTACGAGTGAGTACTTGCCTGAGGCTTACCGGGTGTAAGAAAGACACAGCAAAGAAGCCCCTTAGAGTTCTACTTGATGATAAAAGGCAAGGAGTATATATATATATATATATATATATATATATATATATATATATGATGTCACCTGTGACGAGATTTTATCAGTTACGGTTGCTACAGCTTTCTGTATACATTAAGAGAATTATACACTCAACCAATCTAGTTTTTATTCACAAATAAATTGTCGGTAAAAATCAAACACTGAGCAATCTTCAGGTAGGATGTGCATTTGCATTTTTAGAAGCTTTCAAAAGACCATTCTTTTGTCTAACAGAAAAAATAGTACAAAGACATAACACAAATTGTCCCCATTTATTTGAAGGTTTACAGCTAAAATGAACGAAATAAAGTAATGACAGGGGAGATACACTTGCAGGATGAAAGATCAAACTGAAGATCGAGCGATAATAAAAATCTCTATAACTCTACAGACTATATCGACTAAATGAATTCAGTTGTAATCATACGAAAATTTTCACTAACTTCTTAAAAACTAGAAATATCCATGACTGAAACTACTTTTAAGAACTATTTATTAATTTTACACACTTAGGACTAGTATAGTAGTTACTAAAACTCATGATTCATTTTGCCTAAATGTCGGATATTACTATGTCCTATTTGTATGTAATTATTCACTGATATTTTTCCTTAATGCAATATGTAAAATATTTACAGACTATTTACATTCACTTCCTGAAGCACCCAATTTATTACCAATCAAGAAGAGCTAAGTGTAACTTGAACACACACCACTATACATAGTGTAACCAACCTTTTTATACACTGAAACATAAATGAAAGCAGCTGCTTTAGGCTTATAACTAATGTTTGTTATATATGTGTATGAAGAGGAATCCAAAACAGGAAAAATCAATAACAAATGTAGTAACCGTCATTTAACAATCAGACAATAAACTATTTACTTACATCTTGAATAGCTTTATAATCTGGATCATTAAAATGATAAATGAAGCGTAGAACACCAGGACGTAGTACACTTCGACCGAATACAAGTAAAGATGCCATATAGAATATGTACAACATACCGATTGCCCAATGAATGAAGGTAAATGCAACTGGTGCATAATGAAATACACTGGTTCGTTGAGTTACAGTTGCATTGAAAAGAGACTAAATTAATGCATACGAAGAAAAAGAAAAATTATACTTAAATATATATGTTTAGTTTCAATGAGTGAAAAATGTAAACTAATGTCAATCTTTGTCAGTGTATCATTTCAGTTTGAATCATATAATGCAACATTTACTATGAATAATACACAATCAAATCATTTAACTTGGGTGAAGTAGATTGGGACCGGCCACAATGGTGCAGATGAATTTACTGTTTGTTTTCCTGTAGACTCTAAGTTTGTAAGTGCGTCATTAATCTCCCCAATTATTTCCCTAACTGATATTTTTTTGAAATTGTATTTTCTATGCCTAATCTATGTGATTACCATTATTACTGTTATGAAATTTTCGTTGAACAATTTCATCTTGTTGTGCTGAGTGTGTGGTGTGATAATTCGGATTGATGTGTACACATGTGTTGTCAGGTTGCATCATGTTGCATCTCACTGACTGATTGACTGTAAGCATTTAAATTTATTCAAGATCACACCATGTCCCCATACCAGTTCTATACATAATCTCACTGGAAAATGTTACATCCGACCCTCAATTAACAACCAATACTTCAGTCAATTTAATTAATAATCTTGTATTTCTACAGACAACTTATGATAATTGATTAGTTTATTTATAGTCTCATGAACTTCATCAAAAGATAAAAGTTCATTGTTAACTTGCCTATTTTATCTGTTAGCCAATTCATAGCTGTTTATCAAAGAGATGTACTCTTCATATCAGCTAATTCATTTGACAATCAGTAGTCTGTTGTCGAACACAACTTACAACCTCGTACATATGTGTGTGTGGGAGTTACTTACTAATCTGTCTTTTTCTAAGGTAGTGCTAGGGTTTCACTATTAAAGTATTAAATTTAGTCGGTTCGATACTACTACTATTATCCTTTCCTTCTCTTTTACAATTTTAGTTCACGATTGTTAGTGACTGTTAAGTAAATGTTACTTTCGCTTTACCTTGTAGTTACAGTCCATCAAAAATTTTCGCAGCACAAACTGCTCCGAGGAAGCAGTCACAGTTTACACCGATCTCCAATATTTAATCTCACACTAGGCAGAAGGCATTAGAATGTTTCATTTATGAAATCAAACAGGATAATCATTTTAATCTGAATTAATGCAATACTCTTAGTGAATTTTTCTTGTGAAGTATAGTGGCTCAAGTGTTCGACTTCTAATTAGTAAGGTTGTAAATTTATTCGAGTCTCACTTCATTTACTTCAGTTTGAGCATCTAAATAGTACTATTGCTAGTCACTCAGGTATAGAGTATGGCTCAAAGCCAATTAAAAGAATGTGTACAAGGTAAACAGGTTACATCAATTGATCTAGTGAACTACAACAGTTTTTGAACACAACATTTATCTCCCCTATCATAATCGCATCAGTCAAGTTTAAACAGCACAAATCATTGATAACAATAACAAAACTGTAGACCATTTTTAGTTTTAAAATAGCCTGGTATTAAAAAAAATAATGTGTTAAACAAACAAACAAACATGGTTATCATTAATCGACTTTAACACAATATCAAAAGTACTACAAATCACATGTAAAAATCTGCGCTACAAAAAACAAACAACAACCGAAAAACGTATTTCCAATAACGTGAATTTATGTGCATTATGTGCTAATTTATTAGTTATAATTAAATTAAATTAAAAAAGTGCTGTTGTTCTTTATTCACATTATATCTAACTTGATTAGAAGCTAAAACAGACAGAATATTAATAGCTATCCATCTAAACAACATAAATCATATCGACTAGCAAAAAAGAAATTAGATAAGAATAACTTATCGCTGGACTGACTGACACAAAAATTAAAGCATTACTTACCAAAGTGCAAGCATCTATCCAAAATCCAGACAAAATAGGAAAGATACCCAATTCCATTAAAGAAACCAAAGCAACTTTGATGTAGACATAGCCAAGACCGGTCCAATAACAAGCCCTATTTGCGTAGTTAGGACGTAAAGATGTTGACAATAGATGATTTTGTTTTAAGCATATAATACGAGAAGAGCTAATCATGGTAACTTGTTATTTGAAAAAATAAGTAAATTGAAGCGAGTACAATTTGTGTACAATGGTTACACATAGAGATTTTTAAGTAATCAAATATCATGACGGGAATATAGTAGAATATCAGTTCTTATCAACCGAAACTGATCTAGTTACGTCCCGAAAATAAAAAAAATATTGAGCATCAACAAAAAATTGTTGTCGTTTCAAACATGAGCTTTGTAGCTGCATGCGTTGATTGAATGAATGATCAGATAATTTATCAAGTGCAATGAAATCAATCATTGAGAATAAAATAGAATGCTTAAAACTGATGATTGCACAGAATGCATAGATGAATTTATTCTTTCTTCAACTTTAAATTCTAACTCCCAATATTATTTCACATATTCTATTCCATAAAAAATATATCTTCTTTTCTTGAGTCCTAGTTTTTTTTTTTACTTATTTCTAAACTTTATCGTAGTAATCAATCACCGATACCTACTTCTATTAGCATGCATGGTATTGATTATATTAAAAATGCATTTTGATATTTTGAAGTGGTATGATTATTCAGATCGATGTACATTTATTTCTAGTTAAAAGTGTTGTTGTTTATGCTTCTTAACTAACTAATCGACAGAAGTGAAAATCAGTTTGGTCAAACAGTTAATGGATAAAGAAGTTTTATTATTTTGAGTGGAATTTAGAAAGTACATGTTACTTTTATTTGAAGATTTAAGTATTTGTACGTTAGAGCTCTCGGGTTTCTCTATTTGTATTTCATGATTTTGTTATATGTTAGTACATTTAGTTGTGTGGAGGAAGTCTTTAGTAAGGATTCAACAAGTCTTCAAATCGACGATATGGTCAGAATTAATGGTCGGCTGCATACCATGCATTTAAAGCTACAGTGGAAAATGAACTTATCAACATAACACGTGTACTAATTTCATTGTTTTTGGGGCATACAGTTGTATTAAATGACTACTAATAATGGGTTTTTGAAACTATTTTTTGAAACTGATTTTCCACTTGACTAACTGTAGCTGTAAATTAGCTGAGTAGAACTATGCACAGTTTTAATACCAACATACCTTTTAACTAAACAAGTTAGTAAGTATTTACACATTCTAGTGTGAATCAGTGTGATCATATTATTTATCAATAAGGTGTTAGATAACCGATCACCAGACAGTATTGTCATACATACTAGCAAGAATCAGGAAAAAGATGGAACTTTAAATTGAGTTCACGTGTAGTGCCTCCACATTTATTAGCATTCGCTTACATTTAATTTGATCAAGCCTTTCGATTAATTTATTTAACCAAGCCATTTGTATAACAATAACTTTTATGTACCATTGGTTTGTATGAGCTGGTATGAGTGAGCAATGCTTAACGCCTACGAGCATATACATCCTATTCGCTTTAATATTGATCTCTTAAATATCACGATGACTCAGACATTTTCCAATGTATATATATACGAATATTTTAATCTTATCAATACACTCGCACATTCGCCCATTCGCTCGCTAGTGTGCCTGCCCGGTCTGCTAGCCCTATTTGTGATGTGCCAAAATAAACGTATTCAACAATTCGAATTCGCCTTCTGATTTATAACCGTCAGACGCCATTTAGTAACGATTGTCTGAACGAGCTAATTACAAAGATTAAGAGAACACGTCAAAACTGGCCACCACACACGGTAGCTTATGATAACATTCTGACGACTGTGAGAAAATCTCGGTGATGGTGAATTGTTTCTATTAAATCTTAAATTTGTTTAAGACATTGAATTTAATTAGATGATTTTATCTTGAATGCGAAGGTTTTATCTAAATATTGTAATGATGGCGATTGACAAAGAATGGCGAATGTATTCGAATAGTTGATCGTATTAAGTAATCCAAATGACATCTTCAATGCCCGCTTACATCATCATTTGTTATTATTTATAGTTCTTACAACTGTTCCGTTGTAAAAAAATGCTTAAGAGGGAAGATATACAACCATCCCCTCCAATGGTTCTAATCGAACAGTGGCGTTCAGCATGGTTGTCCAGTTTCACCAATCCCCTCCTACTTTGCCGTCAATTATATTCTGACAACGGCTCTGATGGAAATACAAACTATTGTTGTGGAGGAAGACTTTCTAATCTTTATTATGCGGATAAAATTATCTTCAAGGGATTCTCACAAGCCTTCGAATCACCCATAAACTATTGTCATATGATGTGAGATTGTTATTTTGGTGTCAGTTCATTGTTTACAGTCTCCCTTACTCATAGCCACTTTTAGTCTATTCATCAAGCATAATTTCGATTTTTCATTTTATGATGCGATGAAAGACTAGGTATGTGTATATACACAAACTATATATGCTTGAAATATATTTTCCGTATAATGGAGGCGGATTTCTGTGTTCTGGACTCAATGGACAGGGGGGGAGAGAAGCTACTGAATAAAGCGCCAATAAGAACTGAGCAGTGTCTTGAGACTATTTCTGCTGGTTGTTGTCATCACTTAGCTCAGGAACAAGGTCACAGGAATCGATATTCTGGTTGGTGGTTTTAATACGGGACACGGGTGAGCGATTAATAAGTAAGTCAACATACGACGTGTACTTTTCGCCTAGTAAGTGTGTACCGTACTGCTGTTTTTGCAAAAATGAAAAAACAATAACAATCCAACGGAAAGTGATTAATCTAGGCAAAAATACAAATATTTTTTTAAAAAAAACAAACTTATCTTACCGAGGCATATTGAGAATGGCGAATACTTCATGCATAAGAATTAGAGCAAAAGCGAAGATAATGTAACCAATTAAACTTGTACTAAGTCCTTCCATATGAGTAGCACTTATCTATATAAATTAAGAATAGTTACAATAATAATAATAATAATAATTTGTCGTTTCAAATAACAACAGAAGGAGAAAAAAAACACTATTTACTACTTACATAACGTTCTAAATTGAAGCCCAACACAGTGAATTGACCCATGTGATATGGACAAAAGGCTATAAAAAAAATAAATAAATGGTGCAGTTTGTGGGAAAAACAAAAAAAAAATAATAAACAAGCACAAAGCTATGATGATAGTTGAAATCTATGGGGCATCAAGTGACATAATGATAAATAAATTTATGATAATGAAACATAACAGCAAAACAATAAATGAATTTAGTATGTGTGCATAAATCACATTAACACTTATTTTTGTGACCTGAAAACTAATTCATCTATATATATATATATATATATATATATATATATATAGGTTGATTAATGAATGCGATTAAAGCCTCAATGCAAATAATCATCAATGAGAGAGAGGTGACGTGTCTGTGAACTTGTAGTGTATTCATTTTTCAACGCTCAATCTATGTGCGATCGATATCAAGTACTTTCCATGCATTCCAGTGGGCGAATGTTGAATGTATATGTATAAATTTCACTGAAAAGATCTCATTTAAGGCGACAACTTTCATTTCTTTTGTATTTTTGGGATGCACTAGATTGGCATTAAATGCACAAAAATGCTAGATAACGCACTTTTATTGAATATTAAAAAATGATGTTTATTCTTACACATTACTGACCGGAATTTCGGTGAGTACAGTTGTGATTATATAGAACACATTAAAAACCAAATAGTAAATGATGACGCATCCACAACTACATTCTAGTTGGTGCAAAACACAATATATCTTTCATTTTCACCATGAAAATAAGTCCAAACCGGCTACACTACTTTTAAAGGGATACATTAGACATCTATCTTATCAAGGCTTGGAAAATGATGAATTGGTTGCATAAACAAACTTCACTGATAATAATAATAATAATAATAATAATAATAATAATAATAATAATAATAATAATAATAATAAAATGTATCATTTAAATACGAAAGCAGTTAAATGTTTAAATTCGAAATGTTCGTTTATTGATAATTATGTAATTAATTGTATTTGGGTGACGTGATTCAGAATCCCTCATAATGGCTCCGATGCATTCACTCCTTGTATTCCTTTGAAATACGAGTTTCAAAATCCCAAACATTCTTAATTCGTGAATTCATTTTCTCATTATGTAATCTAAGCCTACTAACACTACTACTGATACTGTTACTATTTTTACTAATCAGGGATTTGTCTTGATAATTACAACTCACTGTCCTAATTTTATGTGATAAATTGAATCAGTGTAAATATATGTCCAAGATCTAAGTTGCGTATGAATGACTTGAGGTGCATATCACACCTTGGATCACAAACAAACTTGATAGTTTTGCGCTTTTACGCAATAGTCAACTCATTAACAGTACACCCCAAACATGAAGTTTATGGAAATTCTATGGATATACGGATTACGTAAATGCTGCACATATTCTCCTACAAAATGCAGGAGAATATAATGAGTGGTAACGGCTTTGGTGAAAATGTTCAGCCAACATATTCCGAAAAATGCATACGAAAAATAAACAAAAACATATGGGTATCAGCAATGTTCATGTGAGAATCAAAGAAAAAAATGAATATACAATTGTTGCCAGCTGTGAATTTTATGAAACTGCAGGAATTTTGTAATTTTATACCTTTCCGAAATATATATGACATAACTTCAGTCGATAGCAAGTCCGTTTCGATCAAATATGCATACAACCCTATCTAGCTACTAAATACACAAATCGTTTTATTCTTATTGGTTGTTCTGTACACCTTCGGTATATTTGGTCATGATAGTTATTCACATGTGCATGTTGTTCTATCTGATTATGTTTTGTACAGTGTTCATCTAAACTGAGTAGCAGTTATTAAGTGTAATGAATAGATTAGTTGAATTCACTTTTCCACTAAAAAAAAATCAAATTTTAGTTTATATGCTCTGTGTATTTTTATATTGTAGAAATCCGATAAGCTCCTTTGACGCAATTCTATGTGCAGTTTTGTTCTAAACCTCAATATTGTTTGACGTTAGATCTAGATAAACGAAAATTTAATTGGCGCACAACTACGACTTGACAGAATGATTAACAATATAAATGAAAATTAAGTTTGCTAAAGTACCCTAGACAATTCTAGTTTAAGTACACACAGAACTTACCAAATATGACAATAAATAAAGTGTTTAAAGCAATAAGCCATAAAACATGTTCCAGAAAATTTAAAGATCCATCTAAGCCTAATAAATGCTTCCAATTCATAGCTTCTGGCACACCGTCTGCATCTGCTGGATCATTATTGGCCCTGTCATCTTCGTCCGGAATATCCTCATCTACATTAGCTCCTGCATTTTCCATATACCAAGCTAATTGTTGTGGATGTGATGATGATTCAGGATTAACAGTATCTTCCGATTCACGTGAAGACTCTAAGGATTCCGACATACCACTACTGCTAACCACTAGTAGTTCTTGTTGTTGTTGTTGCTGATTTAGAGAAGTAGGAGAGTGTAGAGAAGAAGAACTTGTAGTACGCTCAGGATTCATTAACTCTTGTTGAGCAGCTTGATGATGCTGTTCATCATTATTATATATTTGAGGTTCAGCAGGGTCTTCATTGCCCTCTCCGAAAACTGCAGCTCCTAAACCACCACCATTGGCAACGCCAAAAATATTGAAAATATCCGGAAATAAAGGTCGCCCAGCATTGGCCGCAGCAGCAGGAGGAGGATTAGCACCACGAGCTTCTGAAATGAAAAAAAAATTCGATTTTAGGTGCGGAAATTAACATTGGATTTTTCACAAAAATATTTTCAAAGAGATGAAATAAAGAGTTTTACAGTACTCACTCTACAATGACTGTTACGTTTAGATAACTTGATAAACATTTAAAACCTAACTATACATAAAAATTTGCTTATTGAAGACAGAAAGTCTAGTGGTTTATTTTTTTATACAATTATTTTAAGGAGAATACTTGTTTGTATACAATGGAAAATTTGCAAAATTACTGACTATTTTGAATAGTAAATAATTAGTCGGGAAAAATGTTCTATTACATATAGATAGTTAACCATGAATATTGATTTGATGATAGTGTTTACACTAAATAGTTTTAGATTATTTTTTAAACAAACTTTTGAGGTAAATGTACTTTTTTTAGTAGTATTTTGTGATAAGATTATAAATAAATTAAATATATGGTAAAGTAACGGTACTGTAGACTGTTTAGAATTAACTTGAAAAAATCAGTTGATTGCGATGAGGAACTTCGTAGAAAACCTATTCATCGTAAATTATTTCGATTGTTGAAAAAACATGCTAACTGGTTATTATTTATGAGTGTTGTGACTAAAATATCCCCATTGAAGTCAACATTTATCTTTAACTTAATCAATTAGTCAAATTAGAGCCTAGTACAAATATGCATTAGCCTTAGTTGTCATACCATATTAGTACGAGGTAGAAGTAGTGGCATGAACAGCGAGAAGAAATCGAAGTAATGTAGTTTTAATGATAATGAGAATGACTGAACATTGAGAATACACTCCGGAAGGAGACAATGAAAGATATCTGTGAACGAATATTGGGTATCAAGATCCAAAAGAAGATAAAGCCTGAAGATATTTGTACCACTAAAACTGACTCTAAACTATTCCACTCAAAGTTTTTAACCACTCATGACAGTTATAACAACGACTTCAACCATAAAGTTAGAATTCACCAACACGGGTCAGACCAATTGTTAAGGTCTCATGGACGCTGTCGCGTCTTGGATTGGCTTTTCAATAATTTTCTCCTAACTCGCTCCTACGTCAGCTAACATCTAGTATCAAAGCGGATGGTCGACAGGCATACAACGAGGATTCACCGCAGCCTAACATTGGCCTCGTACACTAAGCCTAAACTCAGCACCACTCACTCGGTCGCTCCACATTCTTAACGTAGATGTGAGATGATATTCATATTTATTATCTCGAAGAAGTTTTCCACATTATATTCTTAGTTATTGATTAAATTAATCTAGCAGAAAAAAATATGAATACACATATAAATAAAATGAAAATACCTGCATGCGCATCACGTTCTAACCAAGCTGGTGTACCTTGAAGAAGTTGTTCTCGTAATGAAACATAACCCAAAAATGCAGCCAATGCAAAGATTACAATAATGAAACCCTAATAAGAATAAATCAAGTGAAACTTTATACCATTAGAATTTATCCGATATATATATATATATATATATATATATATATATATATATCACTGGAGAAGTTTATTACAAATCTATTTATTTATTGGTAGCATAAGACAGAAGACTAAGTAATAAAATTGAATTTTAACAAACTCACCATACAAAACCACAATGAGCACATTTTGAAAAAAAATAGAAATTATATAATGAATAGAAAAATAAAAAAGACAATAGTTCGCAATAAAGAATACAGTCCCAAAAAATATTAAAGATGGTTTAGGTAAAATGTGTGGCCACAAAAGCCGGAGAGTGAAAGTGAATGCTCGACTCGTAAACCAGATCAATAGATGTATAGAGCTCAACCTAAGGAGAGAGTTCAGAACCATAACTCCAAACCCAGTGTACATAGGCTATGGAAAAACAAATGGTGCATGAACATACACTACATTAACTTGTTATCATGGAAACGCATTTTCTGATATTTTTTTCTTACTTTTATATGATTTACACTTTAAGTCAAATGATGAAAAATGATTTTCACTTGTTTTGATTTAGGTGATATTACATTCCTCAATCAATAAATGATAATCACTAGTAGAAAAATGAAGCATATCCATTTACACAAATGAAGTGTTAATAAACATTGCAAACTGCAAAAACTAAGGTAATCATATCATACATAAGTTTACTTTATATTATTTTTATTTTCAGTTAGAGCTTTGGAGATTTGTGTTTCTACACATTTGAAATCATCAATCAATGATTGTTAGACCACCATTAGAAACCTGGAAGCACTGGACGGCCGTTTCGTCCTGGTATGGGGCTCATCAGCAATGAGCATCCACGACTCCTGCACCTCACAGGATTCGAACCTGGGACTTCGGTATTATGCGCGAACGCCTAACCATCGGACCACTGGGCCGGCATCCAACGGTGTTAATGTCTAACTCTGACTGATCTACGGATTTTGCGCGACCTCACTCACTTGTCTTTGGTAGTTACTGCCTACACCCGACAGGGTTGAACTCCATTGGTCACGTCTTTTTATTCTCTTTGTCTCATTTTTACGTGACGTAAGGTTTCCGTTACATTGATTTTAATATTGAATGTACTTGTTGGAAATCCAGGTGCTTAAACGGCTTTAAACCAAATAATGGTCAATTTTTGAAAACGTTTATCAATTGTGATAACTAGTACAGTTATTCTGCATCTAGGCATACTATTAATACTTATTATCTGTGATGTTTGCATCTCGACACGGATTTGACAAAGGACATCAATCTAGCTTTAAGTTTGGAAGGTCATATCATGTTTTGTTTTTATTTCAGAGACCCATATTTTTCATTCTGATGAAGTATAACAAGTTTGTTTTCTAATTGTGGATTTAGTTACGGCAGGATACTTCCGTGACAATATCTTTTTCAAGATCGACCAAATGCCCGTCTAGTTTTACCTGTGATCGTTGAAGTGAGATCTGTATTAAGATTTTTTGAACCTGATAAAAAGCAGACGAACGTGCACTCACATTAATGTGTATGTGATTCGGAGGCGAGAGTTTTCTTCTAAACAGTAAAATTACCTGTCTTCGACCATCATTAGGTGGGTTTTAGAATTCGCCAGACAATAGTCTTTTTAATTCTGGAGGTTGGTGTTGGTTGAAAATAGGTTTCCTTAGGGCAGAGGTAGCAGATAATCATCAGTATCTTTTCAGTGAATTAGGGCACAGAAAATCCCGCCTAAATGTCTTAGTGTGATTAAGACTGCCCAGGTATCCGCCCCAAAATACTACGATATATGGAAAAATATGAAATCTGAGGATCAGCAATCGAAATAGATGATTACAGAGATTTCTGCAAACTCTATTATTGTTGAAAGATCTACATGCACGAACAAAGCTCAAAGAAAAATTGTCTGGGGCTGATCATATACAACTTTTATATGAATGTTTTTGCAGAATTACCCGGACCGTAGAGCTGTAGCCTTAACGTGGTAATCGGACATAACTATCGCGATGGTCCAACCGAGCTATATTGACTGGAACATATATTCATTTACATCCTACCGTGCCGGCCAGGTTCGTTGAAAAAGAATAAGACTAAAAGTAGCAACTTAACGTCTGGAGCGAAATCATACTGCTAGCTGTAAAGAGGTGTCACAGCAGTAAACCGTTTCCATTGGACAACCAGCACCTGCAGCTATGCCCGCTTTTCACAATCAAAGAAAAGGGTTAGAAACGATCGACCGTAAAAATTCCATACTTCACCTTACCTCAAAGATTTCCGTGTCAAGCTATACGACCTTTTGAAGAGCGGAGCAAACATGTGAAAGACTTTACATAAAAAGACCGTGCGCGATCTGCCTCAAGTAGTTATCCGTTGAGCTCTGCAGTCACGCTCACAAGTCACTAAGACAAACATTAACGTAACCTTCTTTTCAGGTTCCCCAAGAAATACCTTTTCATGGTGTAAACAACCGAGAAGTGACATGAACTCTACTTGTATATGTTATTTACCTCGCGCCGTTAATTTTGGAGATTCTAATACGAGAAATGTTATTTAGAATCTCCAAAAACCACGCTCTAAACTAAATGTTGGAGCTTTCAGTGTTCGAACCTTGTGTGAAATAGGACAACAGGCTTCCTCAGTACTGATTCTAGAATTTCAAGGCCATCGATGCATGTCGCGTCTCCAAAACGCACATACTGGATCCGAGAATAGTCAGTCATCTGACCTCACCTTATCAACATTTAAGCTTCGTGAATCTAAAAGCCCCAATGCTGCTCCCCGTGGCCTCGCCGGTGTAGGTATAGCGTTAAGTTCGGAGGCCGAACTAGGTCTCTTGAACTGGATACTAGCAGATAGTCGCTGGTGCATAGTCCAACTAAACGGGACAGTAAGAACTCTGGAAGATAGGGAAATTCGCCTTGGCCTCTTAGTTGTATCTGTCCACGCTACCACTGATTGCAACTCAGATGAAGTAAAAGGCAAATTTTACAGCTTTTAAAACTTCTTCGAAGGGCTAAGCGCTCTGGTATAGTAATATTTGCGGATGATTTTATTGCTCAAGTAGGTAAATTAGACGAAACTGGACACGATCTTGAGGTTCTATGGAAGTGTGTGCCATTGAAAGGGGTACTAAAAAGGCACATTAATCTTATACAAGCTCTATCCTCGAACACTGCTAGTTAAGTGACAGCTCATGGCTTGTAATCCAAATTGATTACTTCAAGTGGTGTTCGTCAGGATTGTCCACTGTCTCCATTCTCTTTAACTTTGTCATTGACATGCTTTTTGATACGACGCTTTCATCATCTAACTTTCGAAGAATTGACCAACCAGGAGATTCGCTTGTTGACTTGTAATATGCATATGACCTAGTTCTACTTGGTGAAGACGCTGACAAAGTGTAAAATGTTGTTTTAGGGTTGGTTTGTATCGCCCCCTAAACTAATGATAGGTAGTGAAGAAGTTAAGCGTGTTGACAACTTCACTTATCTTGGGAGTCTCATCAGTGTTGATGGTCTGGTGACCGACGAAATCTCAGCACGGATACGGAAAGCTCGATTGACTTTTGCCAACTTGTGTCATCTATGGCGTAGGCGGGATATCCATCTGCCAACCAAAGGACGAGTTAGATTGCTCTTTCCTACTAGATGGGTGTGAAACATGGTCAGTAAGAGTAGAATATATTTGCAGGTTACTGGTTTTCGATCTTAGGAGTCTTCGAAGCATTGCTCGTATATCCTGCAACCACCGAGAAAGCAATGCAGTTATTAAGAAAAGGGTACTAGGTAAGGATGAAAAATCAGTGGAGGTGGTTGGGACATGTGTTACGTATGCCCAACCACTGACTGCCTATGTTATGTGGTGTAGGAGTAGGCTGGCAGAAAGCTAGGGGCAGTCAGAACAAAACATGGCAAAAATCCATGAAGTCACTGACAAGTGGGTTGAGCCATATTGGCAGGTGTAGACTACCTGGTTGGGGTCCGCGAGAGAATAATAACTGATTGTTACAGATTTTGAATGACATGGCTCAAATTCGTTTGTCGTGGCGCAAATGCATTCATTCTTTTTCCCTATGACACTATGACCTATCTCTTTTTAAATATATTTCACTATGATATACTTTTCAAGTCATATCTTCCATTCCTAATCTTTTCCATTATCGCTAATACTTCTACTTCTTCCACTACTATTGGATTTGAACTGACAAATATATCTCTGTGCTAATGTGGTATGGCAATTTGAGCTGAGGTAAGTACATACCAATTCCTACAATGCAGCTGACTGTAGAATAAGGTATACATTTTCAACTCCTTTTGATTAGGCCGGAAATTCCGTGAGCTGGAGAGTGGAACACTTTTAAGACTGAATATTTTAATTCCATTTCTCGATTGTGGAAAGGCAGAATTGTTCAAGACTGGATGACCGTGAAGCATCTACTATAGAATATGTAGTAGTATGTGGTTTTCATCGTAATCCAAATATATTAGATTTAGTTTGATCGCTTTTGAAGTACTCTGTTAAGCACGATAGAACCTCAAAGAAGCCGATATAGCTCCACTAAGAAGCTACCATAATCATATAGAATAAGAGTATCTAAGTTGCAGCTATAGTGAGGTTGACATAGATGATGAAGAGAAGCATTCTCAACTTTAGTCGAAACCTTACATTAAAGTATACATATTCTTACTATCACTATTTAATTAAATTATTTCTAACGTCCATTGTTGAAAGATGTTCAAAGAGACTTTAAGACTTAAATGATAAATAACAGGATGCATAAAATGTATGAGGGAGAAGCTAATTATCTTAGTAACCAATCAAACTGAACCTACCTGAATACAATCTTGTAGTAAGTGTTTTGTGGAAACCATGTCCAGTGGAAGCGTGAGGAGTGAGAAAACGCTACCGGTAAAAAGACAACGGTACATCCGACAGGCAGACAAGGGGACTATAATTAACCATGCAGTGAAAACAATCGACAAGTGGATCCAGTTTAGTACGAATCTACGTAAACTGTTGGCTAACCCCATAGCCAACACAGTGAGCGGCAGAAACCGTGGTGTGCCTGATGCATAAATTCGAGTGAAAGCAAATCGATGATTGCATAATTCACAGGTATTTCTTTTACTATATTCGAGCCAACGGACGAGGCTGAAATATCACAGAAATTAGAAACAGAAGTATTAGCAATTAACGTTTTATCCTTAAACTAAGTACATATTTGCAGTCTTGGTTTTGGTCCATGCGCTAAGAGTGGGGGTTTGTAACATTACCTAGTGGTCTAAATTGGTGTAGGTTCCAAAGCCTTGAATTGGTGGCTAAAAATCGAACGCCTTAATCACTGAGCCATCACTTCACTCATTATTCATACGAGTAAGATAAAGGCGACAAAGTGAACCAAAAAACAACTAGACAGACTTGGATTAGTTTTCTATCAAAACTCCATGTCTTTCTCGTTATAACCATAAGCAGCATGGTTACGAAACCAGATTGAAGAACCTACATGTCGTTTTTGGAAGAATATTAAGCTGATGAATGTACGGTTGGTTGGATAACAGAAATTAGAAGCGACAGAGTGATTGACCTAGCATATACAACAGGGCAGTTACCTTTTAGGGACTACTATGCTAGGTAACTCGAAAATGCTAAAGCAATACTACATAACAATTCATGAATCTCAAGTGTGATGACACAAGTACTCGTGAACGTTATGTTCTTAAACCTCTTAACTGAGCCCATAATTCTCGAGATGACAACCCTGGCTTACTGCCGCGAAAAATATAGATGGGAAAAACTACAACTTTCCACTTACAAATTTCCCTAACAGCGACTATTATTTAAATCAGAAAAAACGATAACCTAGCGTGGATTTTATGTTGAGCAAGTGTCAAGCCTGTGGATAATTGTCAAAATAAAGTAAAAAGAAATGACGAAATAGTTAGTTACTAAAACTGTCAAAATATAACCGACGGTTAAACTGAAAGATCACCATACTGAGGTAGTATATAATTTGAACCGCTACCTATAACATGTATTTGTCTGTACTAGCAATACTGCTCGATATTCCAGATAGAAATGTAAACATGTTAGAACGAGTGATATGATTGTTGCGAGTTTCACCTAAACATATAAAATTTCATTTTAACTTATAAGTTAACAACATGACTAATTATTTCAAAGTTGGAAGGTACGCTATTGTGGATAAACGGGAGAACGTTGTTGTTAGAAGGAACTCACTGTTCAGAAACTTACCAATCCTGATGAACATATTTAATACTTCCAGTGCATAAACAAGGGTGAAACAGAGGTTTGGATGCAGTCCCTTCACATCGGCACACTCGGCAAAAGTCTGGAGTTAGTAAAATGGAAAATTTTATTTTGACCGATCTCATAGAAAATCAAGAAAAACAAAAGAAATGAAACTAACAGCAAGAGCTATCTTCTCAAAGACATTAAATCTGATCTTTAGTCATTAATTTTTACGTGTAGAAATGATGAACAAGAAAATCTCTTTTATTTCAACACAGATAACTTAGCTAAATTCTGCCCACCCTGAGGCAGCTTGGAATGATATCAAAAAAGCTGTAGAAACAGCAGTGATATCTCCTAGTAAGGTAAACCATAAGGTTAGGGAGAAGCCGTGGATCTCAGTAACATCTGCATCACTGATGGATGATCGAAAGCTCATCCCACCTGGCTATGAGTGCGATGAGGAGCGGAGTCAGCTTAGGCGCAGGCTGATGAAAAAGCCTACGCAATAATCGTCAACACAGGTGGGCAGCGGAAGCGAGAGCGATGTAAAAGGCAGCAGCGATAAGCAACAGTAGGCAACTATTCAGACTCATCAAGGAAACTGGTATTAGGAACCCAAATGTGAGTGAGAATATTTCGGAAAAGGATGGTCTTATTATCCATTCTCAATCAAGGAGATTGGATCGATGGGCAGAACACTTTAGGGATAAGTTCAAATGGCCTTCGGCCACACTTTGGTTGCCCACGATCTCCAGTCATTCTGAATGGCAAATCGATATATGTCCTCCTACTCTTTATCCCGACCGTAGCTGCTACCTTGACGTGGTGGTCGGGCTTGCCTATCGTGATGACCCAACCGAGCTATACTGGCTGGAACATATGTTCCTGCAGGTCCTACCATGCCAGGCAGGTCGATCGGAGAACGATGAGACTAAAAGCAGCTACCCAAGGTGTGAGGGCGAAGTTGTACTGCTGACTGCAGAGGGGTGTGACAGCAGTAAAGTGTTTCCCTAGGACAACCAGCATCTGCAGCGATGCTGTCTTCTCACAAGGAAGGAAGGGTTAGAAAAGGTCGACCCTAAAAATGTCACACCTCCCCTAACTCACGGATTTCCGTCTCCCTGGGTAAGGGTGCCCACTAAGGGCCTTTAAGAACGGAGCTAATCCTCTAAATACCTTTCATAAAAAGGCCGTGCGTGACCGGCCTCAAGCAGTTGTCCCTTGGGCTCTGCGGTCACGCACCAACACTAATCCATCTTCCTTTTCAGGTCCCTCAAGAAACAGTCAGTCAGTCAGTCAGATGCAACGTTGAACTTTGTACATAAGTACATCAGTTCATGTTGCCATACCATATCAGCACAGAGAAGTAATCGTCAATTCAAATCCAATAGTAGAAGAGGTAGTAAGGGAATTAGAAATAATCGGAGAGGTTAGGATTAGAAGATACTATTCAGGAAGTATGATTCAGTGAGAAAAGTTTAGAGAGTCGAAACTAGAGGGGTTGAAGAATCCAGAAGATTAGCATTTGAGAGAACACAGAGAATAAATGCACCGGCGCCATTGCGAACGATTCTGAGCCATGTCATTCAAGGTCTCTAACCATCGATTATTATCATCTCGCGGACCCCAACCAGGTAGTCGCCCTCAAGAAACAACCTTCCACGGTATGGGCAGCCGGGAAGTGACAACCGCCCTCATACCCGTAACAGCACGCGAGACCAAATTGGTCGAAATCATATCCTTCCTACACCCCCTAATGTCTCTCTTAACTCTACGACTAACTCTACTCACACTCCCTTTTCTCACTGCACCGCTAATGCAGACGAAGCGAGATCACGAAACGTCGTTCCTGGTCTCTTGAAACCCCGTTCTAGACTACATGTTGGAGCTTTTAATGTACGGACATTGTGTCAAATAGGGCAACAGGCATCATTAGCTAGGACTTCAGAATCTCGTGCCATCGATGTATGCTGCGTCTCGGAAACGCGCATACAGGATCCTAGTAAAGTCATTAACCTGATTCCACCTTGTCAAAACGAAGAAACAGCCCGATTCACACTTCGTGTATCCGGTAGCCCTGATGCTGCTTCCAGGGGTCTTGCTGGCGTAGGCATAGCGTTGAGTCCTAGGGCAGAATTATCTCTCCTAAACTAGATCCCAGTAGATAGTCGTTTGTGCGCTGTCCGACTAAACGGGACAGTAAGGACTCGGAAGGATAGGGACACTCGCCGTTGCCTCTTCGTCATATCTGCCTATGCCCCCACAGACTGCAGTGCAGACGAGGTTAAAGACGAGTTTTACAGAAAGCTTTCGGACCTCCTCCAAAAAGCTAGGCGCTCTGATATAGTAATAATGGCTGGTGACTTTAATGCTCAACCACCGATGGAGGGGTTCAATAGAGGACTGCCGCTCGTTCTGGGGCACATGTTTAGATTCAGATCATGCCCTAGTGCGAGCTCGTATCTGTTTGAGGCTTACTGGACGTAGGAAAGACACCGTAAGAAAGCCTCTTAGGGTTTTACTTAATGATAATCAAACTAAGAAAATATTTCAGGAGCAACTAGAAAGAGAGTTAAGCAACGATGTAAGTGATTCCCATCCAGGAGCAGGCTGGTATGATATCAAAAAAGCTGTGGAAACAGCAGTGATATCTGCTAGTAAGGTTAACCATAAGGCTAGGATGAAGCCGTGGATATCAGTCGCATCCACTGAACTGATGGATGCTCGAAAACGCATCCCATCTGACTCTGAGCATGATGAAGAGCGTAGTCAGCTTAGGCGCAGACTTATAAAAAGTCTGCGTAACGACCGCGAACAGTGGTGGGTGGCGAAAGCAAAAGGGATGGAAAAGGCAGCGGCGATCGGCAACAGTAGACAACTTTTCCGCCTCATTAAAGAAACTGGTATTAAGAACCCGAATGTGAGTGAGACTATCTCGGAAAAGGATGGGATTATTATCCATTCTCAATCCAGGAGACTGGATCGATGGGCAGAACACTTTAGGGATCAGTTCAACTGGCCACGAGCCACTCTTCGGTTACCCACGATCTCCAGTCATCCTGAATGGCAAATCGACGTAAGTCCCCCTAGTCTTAATGACGTTGAGAAAGCGTTAGGTAATCTGAAACGAGGACGAGCTGCAGGTCCTGATAGACTGACCCCTGAGATATTTAAGGATGGTGGTCCAGTTTTAGCAGCTAGGTTGACTGAGATCTTAGGTAGAATCTGGGAACTGGACGCAATCCCATCCGACTGGTCTCAATCACTGATTGTCCCAATCTATAAGAAAGGACAGAAGTCTTATTGTGACAATCACAGCGGAATAAATCTAACTAATACAGTATCTAAAATATTGGCCTCAATAATACTCCGACGCTTAACGAAAGCTCGTGAAGAGCAGACTCGAGAAAACCAGGCTGGTTTTCGACCTGGACGTGGTTGTATAGACCACATCTTCACACTACGACAGGTCCTGGAACATAGACACACATTTAGGCGTCCTACAATAGTTGTTTTCCTGGACCTAAAAGCGGCATTTGACTCAGTGGATCGTGAGGTTCTGTGGCAGTGTCTGTCATTGAAAGGTGTACCAAAGAAGTACATTAACCTGATACAAGCACTCCACTCGAACACCACTGGTCGAGTGAAGGCTTATGGCGAACTGTCACCGGAATTCTCTACATCAAGTGGTGTCCGTCAGCGATGTCCACTTTCTCCATTCTTGTTTAATTTTATGATAGACATGCTCCTAGACATAACATTATCCTCGTCTGAATTTTCAGGAGTAGACCTTCTACCAGGTGGCTCGCTTACTGACTTAGAATATGCCGATGACATTGTCCTACTTGGTGAAGATGCTGACTAAATGCAGTCTTCTGACTACCCTAAGCAACAATCCAAGCATGTTCGGGATGCGGTTTTCCCCGTCGAAATGCAAAATGTTGCTTCAAGACTGGGTTGCATCGGCACCTGAACTAGTGATAGGGGGTGAAGTGGTCGAACGTGTAGACCGCTTCACTTATCTTGGGAGTCTCATCAGTACCCATGGCCTGGTGTGTGACGAAATCTCAGCTCGGATACAGAAGGCTCGATTGGCTTTTGCCAACCTGCGTCACTTATGGCGTAGGCGTGATATCCGTTCTCTAATCAAAGGACGAGTGTACTGTGCAGCAGTTCGCTCCGTTCTCCTATATGGCTGTGAAACGGCCAGTGAGAGTAGAAGATATTCGTAGGTTACTGGTTTTTGGATTATAGGTGTCTTCGAAGCATTGCTCGTATATCGTGGGACAACCGAGTAAGCAGTGCTGTCGTTAGGAAACGAGTACTAGGTAAGGATGGCAGATCAATCGATGAAGTGGTGAAACTTCATCAGTTGAGGTGGTTGGGACATATCTTGCGTATGCCGAACCACCGACTGCCTCGACGAGGTTTGTTTTGTGGTGTAGGAGTAGGTTGGAAGAAAGTTAGGGGCGGCCAGACCAAAACATGGCAGAAACCCATGAAGTCATTGACTAGTGGACTGAGCCATGTCGGTAATTTTTGGGGTCCGCGAGATGATACTTACCGATGGTTAGAGACCTTGAATGACATGGCTCAAAATCGTTCGCAATGGCGCCGGTGCACTTATTCTTTGTGTTCTCTCAAACCCTAATCTTCTGGATTCTTCAACACCTCTAGTTTCGACTCTCTAAACTTTTCTCACTGAATCATACTTCTTGAATAGTATCTTCTAATCCTAACCTCTCCGATTACTTCTAATTCCCTTACTACCTCTACTACTATTGGATTTGAATTGACGATTACTTCTCTGTGCTGATGTGGTATGTCAACATGAACTGATGTACGTACGTAGTTTTATACTGCTATTGATAGACTGATTGATCGAACTAAAAAAGCCTTTATAACGAATGTCCATATTTTTATCGGCATACGTGGTTTAATGGTAAAAACAAAGGGGGGTCTGCAATGCTGGAGGAGATAGGGTGAGTCGACTTACAGGACTTATGTTGTAAATGCGTTATACCACTTTAAACTACATCGTCAAACTGATCACTTCTGATGACATAAAGGTTCCGCACAATTTGTTTGTATTGTGACCATAGTTATAAGATTTGAGTAAAAACTGAACATCTGTTGTGCATATATATGCATTTGAAGAAATTATGATTTCAAATGAACTAAAAATTATTCCATTACATTCCTTAGTGGTTTCGTTATTGCATTTAGCTGGTAGGTGACAAAGTACATGATGTGGACCAGGAAACATGGAAATAAGGTGGCCGAAAAGCAAGCGATAAGTAAAGACTAATTATTTCATACATGTAATAAGAGGTCGAATTCAAGTACTTAAAATTTAAAATACTTCATGAATAGATTTCTGAGAACGCCAAAGGATGAATCCTGCGCATGCATTTTCATTTATTTGACGTCTTTCGATTCCTGAACCGCCAGAAGCTAGTACTAATTCCTCTTCAATGGTTTTAATCACTGGGTAGTAGTTTATTGACTTGAAATCTTTACAGTCAAGACTAGTTTCATAGAGAGTTGTGTTAATAATTAACTGAATGCAACAAAGCAACTCTCTGACAAAAAGTATGTGAATTAGAAGTGATATCAAATTGCGGAAGTGTTGTCTACACTCACTTAGATTCGCTTTATCATCGGAATCTTCCGTCATCTGCGAGATGCAAACTAGTTTCTCCGCCTTTCTTCAAGGTTTATCTCATTCCAATGTCCAATATCTTTTCTCAAGCTAGCATAAACCATTTTATTTCTGTATAACGGATTCTTTTTCCTTCAGTACAGTTCTAGGCGTTTGGTATCGTACAATAGATAGAGGTCTGGACACTCAACTGCACTAATTCTAGTCAGTTGTTTGTGAGTTTGTAAGTCACTTGATTTGTATGAATATGTCTGTTTCATGGATGTAGGGTTTCTGGATACCATCAGCTATCACATTTCCAGGCTGGAGATCATTTGGTTGCAATGTGGGGAATAATGAAGATAAAATTCTAATGCTCATAAGATTTCATAACTAAGTAAATAACGGATAATTTAGTGTATTAATTGGTAGTGAAAATTGTGCGAGGGGACCGAAGTGTAAGCAAGGGGGAGGAAACAGAGATAATAGGCGAGATAGAATAATTAGGTGATCTGAAGAGGTGGCAATAATAGCGACTAGCAAGTCTCAAAGCAAGCATCGGTTACAGTTTCCCACGGAAGAGAAGATAATCTGTGTGTGAGTACGTGTTTATTAAGTCTCTTTTTGAAGCTGTCCACTTAAGGGGCTATGGTCAACTCCGCTGAGAAAACACTCCAATTCGCAACGACGTTTAATGAGAAGCAGTGTGCACGAACCTGAGTATTCGCTCTTTGATGCGCTATTTTTCGAGGATTACCTCGAAGAGAGTGGTGGTGATGCATCGGTAAGGTGCTCACGCTGGGATGATTGGGTGTGCCTAATATGTCATACACCATAATCAAATAACCTCTGATTCTGCTGTAACTCAGAAAGTATAATATTAAATGCTGGAGTCTATCTTCGTAATTCTTGTCTTTCAACCGTCGCCCATTTCGCTGCTCGTCTCTGCACTCGATCCATGAGATTTAGTCTCTTTTAGGTACTGAGGTGCGACGATGTTGTGAACCTCAAAATTTCGGCGTGCATATGTCTTAAACAAAATAAGGAATAATTGTTGAGTGATTGCAACATGTTGTTCCATATAAAGTGAAGAGTAGCATTTGCCTTGCCTTGTACGGAAGCTTTCACTGGTTATTAAACCGAGATCGCACTCTGAGAAGATATTAGGGAGAGGACTTCCGTTGATGGTTTACTATTTCGATTAGGTAGGCTGGTTTATAATATCCAATATCTTTTTCACGATCTTGTATAATCTCTTTTATTTCCGCTCATCGACTTTGCTACCGTTCGCTCTGGTATATGACAACATGAAATGATTTTATTTTTCCTAAAGGAACCATGAACATCTTAACCAACTCCCCTAAACATGTAAAAATGCCACTTCAAGCCCTATCCTATCCTGAAATATTTATGTACGAAACCGTCTAGGATATTTCTCTCCCGCTGAAATCTCCTGAGAATATTTGTTTCTTGAGGCCTAATACTGAGCTCCAGATGTAGATAATTTTTTACAGGGTGTTAAAATTCCATAGGATCAGTGAAATAACGTTGGTCTCAATCGAAATTACCCCTGAATGTGAACTCATCTTTGCCTCAGAAAAACTACACGCAAACGTTAAACGGTGGGTGTTTCCATCATAATATCTTAAAGGCTGATACTAAAGACAAGGAATTAGTGTTGTTGGACAATAATCTATTAATCATTTGAATGAAATTTTATATATACACTGTATAAAGTTTGTCTTAACTTAAGTGTATTAGCAGTGATATCACTTGGTCAAGTGATGGAATTATACGGGAAAAACAGTGACGCATCAGTGAACCTTACGAAGTCTTACAGTTTTATTCAACAGCGTACTCTCTTAAGTTCTTTATAAGGTAGATGATAATAGGCATTCTTTTTAAATATAATGTGTAAAACATAAACACTGCTATGTTATTCAGGGTTATTGAGACAATTTAACTGTGTTCTATCTTTTCCAGCTTGAGACTGCAAGAGGTTCGCAATCAGGTTTTATAAGTAAAACGAAAACTTTATGTTTGCGAAACTAATTGTAGGATTTAATTTGTCCTACGGATGTAATTCTATAAATGTAAACGCAAATACTGCCGCTGACGGAATCGAGAGTAAAATCAGAACAATGAAAAACTGGTTTTAAACTGTATCTGTTTCTAAACAAAAAAACGATTGAATTAGTACAATAAATAAGGAAATTACAATTATCAAGTAAGATGAGCAAACGTACCGGCCAGTATAGCGTGTCTTTAGAAAATGAATAAAAAACATGAGTCACATCTATATAAATAAAATAATAACATCCTTCAATCGATAGGTCATTCACAACAAAGAAAGTTAATAGGCAGGTCAGACTAGGTAACGTGGTGAGCGCTTGACCAATCTGATTGGTTAGTTATGACATAACTACAATTAGTTATAAAATAACTAACACTCCCCCCGAAGTGGTTACCACGTCCAGACCTCTTTGCCGTCGCGCTCGAAATAATCGACCTCTTCCAGTAGGCATAGGTTTCGTATATCTCGGTTGATCTCTACGGTGTCTGTCTTCAATCGAATCGTTCTGACTCGGCCATCCGGACCATAATCGACTTCTCTAACTATAGCTTTCACTCAAAGATTTCTCAGCAAGCCAGTCATGTTCACTAACAGTCAGTCTCCATGTTGTGGATTCCTTCTCATCGACTTTATAATATGTTTCCATACAACGCCTCCGGGATCAAAGATTAATGCTATAAACGACAAAATATTCCTTCTGGTTAGGTTTCCAGGAAACTCGTGAACTCTGAAAAACGATTCATCCGCTCGGATATTCTGCTCTACTCCCAGCGTTCGTTTACTCATCTCGTTGGATCCGCATAGGGTAATGTTTCCTTCTTTTATTTCATCACTTTTCTGGCAAAATGAGATCGATGATACAGGTGGGGATGCTACTGTAGCTTCCGCTGCATAATTTTTGGTTCTTATAGAATTATCTTGTGAATTAAGTCCACGCCTGTTCTGATGGTTTGACCTGATGGTGGATGTTTGACTCAAAACAGATACAGAACTGTCGAATCTATATGGACACGTATCGTTCTCTTCGATAGCTTTTCTTTTCAATTCACGACGTCTTCGACAGGCTTCGTGAAACTGGAAAACACTCTTGTCACAAACCATCGCATTCTGTTGGATGATTCCATCAAATAATGTTGGAAGAAGAGTCTTTTTGTCTTCTAAGGCAGAGAAACCACTTGTACTTACACGAGTAGGACGTGACCGATAGCGATGTGTTTCAGGATCCGAAGTGCAGTCTAATGACTTGCTTTCTGACACATTTGTCCTTATTCTTTTAGCTTGAGATGTTCCTGATGCAGAATCATTGCTACTACTACATGAATACTGCAGATCAAATTTACTAGGGATTTTATTTGTGGATAGTGTACGTTGTTCTTTACAGAATTTTAAGACATAATTGATTTCGTACTGAGTTGCTTTGCGTAACTTGCTGACGGGTGTCCATTCTACAACGCGATCCCAAATATAACGTAGGCGATACTCTGCTCTTGTACCATGTCGCTGACGATGGGCTAGAACCTCAGCAAGATACTGGAAGTCGTTGCGCCATGCAGCCATTACATATCTACCCACCTCATTAATTGCACCTATTCTCAAAGTTCGTTAGTCAACTAGAGCAGCAGGCATTTGTAACCAAATGAGAGTATTAATCAACAGTCTGCCTTTATACACTAAACGTACCACTATCCGTGACCTGCAGAGAGATTCGTTATTCTTTTCAGCACTGTTGTTGTGTATATCATTTAGCTGGAAATGCAAAGGTCCAAGATTATTACACCTCTCTTTATTAGCATCGGAATTATGAGCTCAGCAATGCTGTCGAATAACTGGAATTTCTCTTTCACTTGCAACTAGGTCGACTACCGCTAAAGTTAACGTTTCTTTCCGTTTATCTTCAACTGCTTTCTTAGCAGAATCTCCTAGATTTTTCGAATCCTTACAGTCTGTCTGAGAAGCTGCAACAACTTTAGCCAATGTAGTAAAAGGACACGAAGCAGAATCATGACTTGTAGATGATGATGTCCATAAATTAATTAATTGATGAAATATTTGATCCGAGAACACAATCAGATGGAACGTCTTTCTTAGCTATAGCAGGACTTGATAGAACGGTAGGTGACTTAGCTAATTGTTTCGATGCTTCGAGTGATGCAACATAAGCTTCTGTGAGAGAAGCAGGATGATTAGAAAGAGAACTAGAAAAATCCTGACCTATCGATTTAGTTTGAGGAAGGTTTATCCCATTCACGTTTATCTCAATTTCATCACGTTCATTTAACTTTTGCACTGTGCTTGATATACCGTTGAATGCTATACGATCTTCCACAGACATAGATGGGGTATGACTAAATGAGTCTTTGAATTCAGTTGAGTACAACTGTTCAAACTTATCTTCCAGTTCCTCCTTAGCCGAAAGGTGATTGAGTACACGGTTGTTATCAATGAATTCCCCGTAAGGACCGAATAGCGTCCAACCCAATAAATTCCTCACAGCAGACGGCTCATTTGTCCTTCCAGTTCTCACCTACTTCGTCTCGAGTACTCTCGGTGCATTACACCCGATCAACAGTTTAACATTCTCATCTTCTACTCTCGGCAAACTTACGTCCTTTAAATAGGACCAGGATGCCATATGACGCAGTTCTGTAAACTGCCGGTAGTTTTCTGACTGTCAATACCTTCTGGATGTTAACGGATGATGAGAAGTCTATCGAGTGCAACTCTACATCTACCTCTCTAGATACTAATGACGATTCGTTACTAATGGTCTTTAGAGACACCGTTCTCGGCTTTCCTTCAAGGCCTAACGTATCAGCTAGATCTTCAACTATGAGAGAGGTTTCTGACCAACTATCTAGAAAGGCGCACGTCTTAATACTTCTCTAACAGTTTTTTATCCATACGGGAACTACTGCAAAGGCCACCGGCCTCTGTATGCCCTTAACGTCTTCCTCTGTACAAATCTGAGAATTAATATAGGCATCACTAATAGTATCTCTTCGTTC